CTAAATCAATTTCAGAAATCCCAAATTAAAGTTGCAAATGTGATATTTATTTATAAATAAAAGATACCAAGTCAGAAATTTAATTCATTGCATTAAACATATCATAGAACAAATTAAAAAATGCGGTAAATTTTAATGTTAAAGTGATATTTTTAATTCCTTGAATAAAAAATATCATGGGACAAATTTAGAATTCGAATTAGCAACATCATAGGAGAAATTTATAATTTAAATTAAAAATATTATGGTAAAAATTCTTTAACAGATTAAAAAAATATGAGAGAAATGTATAATTCGAATTAAAAATATCATAAGAGAAATTTTTAAATGAATTAAAAATATCATAGGAGAAATATTTAATTCGAATTAAAAATATCATATGAGAAATGTATTATTCAAATTAAAAATATCATAGGAGAAATTTTTAAATGAATAAATAATGTCATAGCAGATATTTTTAATTCGAATTAAAAATATCATAGTAGAAATTTATAATTCAAATTAAAAATATCAAATGAGATATTTTTAATTCGAATTAAAAATGTCATAGGAGATATTTGTAATTCTATTTAAAAATATCATGGGAGAAATTTTGAAATAAATTCATAGGAGAAATTAATAATTCGAATTAAAAATATCATAGGGGAAATGTATAATTCGAATTAAAAATATCATAGAAGATAATAATTATTTAATTACTTAATAAAATAAAGCATATTTTTAAGTAATGTCATATTTTCATTCTTACTGAACTAAAAAACGCACTATATGCGGTTTTAGTGCATTCGAACTACAGGTGCCGCTAACTGGCAACTGTTGAGCTTCAAATATAAACAAACTCCTGCTATAAATTTATTAATAGGTACATAGATACCTATTAACCTATCTTATTATAACACATTAGCATTATTAGTGCATTTATTTTAATTATAAATATTTTTGTAACCGGTAGTTCAAATATCTTTACCAGTTTGTAAAAACGCGGGAAAAAATTTATTCATCTGTCAAAAATTAAATGTAGTTAATTTTCACAAGATGCTAAATATATTTGAACTACCGGTTAAAAAAATATGTATAATTAAGATAAATGCATTAATAAAGTTAATGTGTTATAATAACGCTAATAACAAGAAACAGTTATTAATAAATTTATTACAGGACTGCGCTCATTGATATCGGAAGCTTAAAGCCTGATTTAAATATTGCCTTCCTTCCTTCCTCCCTTCCTTCCGTAAAAGATGAACAATACAAAAACCGTTGTGATGTTTATAAATTAAGGTACGGAATCTATAAATAGTACTACAGTTTTCGTATTGTTCATATTTTACGGGAGGAAGGAAGGAAGGAAGGTAATATTTAAATCTGCCTTAAAGCCTTCCTTCCCTCGTTCCTCCCGTAAAAGACGAACAATACGAAACCCTGTTAATAGATTAGGGTACGGAAATCTATAAACAGCACTACGGTTTTCGTATTGATTAAAGGAAGGAAAAATGGCAATCTATAAATGAGGCTTAACAGTTGCAAGTAGTTCTAATGAACTAAACCGCATATAGTGCGTTTTTTACAACCCAGTTCAATGAAAAATTTGACATTGAATTAAAAATATGTTTTGTCATTTTATAATAATTAATCTTATTAAAAATATCTTCTATGATATTTTTAATTCGAATTATACATTTCTCCTATGATATTTTTAATTCGAATTATTAATTTCTCCTATGATAATTTTGATTTATTTCAAAATTTCTCCCATGATATTTTTAAATAGAATTACAAATATCTCCTGATATTTTTAATTTGAATTATAAATTTTTCCTATGATATTTTTAATTCGAATTAAAAATATCTGCTATGATATTTTTTATTCATTTAAAAAATTCTCCTATGATATTTTTAATTTGAATAATACATTTCTCCTATGATATTTTTAAATCGAATTAAATATATCTCCTATGATATTTTTAATTCATTTAAAAATTTCTGCCACGATATTTAATTCGAATTATAAATTTCTCCTATGATATTTTTAATTCATTTAAAAATTTCTGCCATGATATTTCTAATTCGAATTATAAATTTCTCTTATGGAATTGTTAATTCAATTATAAATTTGTCCTATGATATTTGTTATTCAACGAATTAAAAATATCACTTTAACATTTCGATTTATTAATTTGTCCTATGATATTTTTAATACAATAAATTAAAGTTTTCATTTGATATTTTTAAATATTTTAGAAATATGTGAAATTCAATGGAGAAATAAATAATTCCTGAATAAAAAATCAAACGGCGCGCCATATTATTCGAATCTATGATAAAATAAAAAAAATACATTATTTAATGTTTTATAGTTTGTAGTGAAATTAAAAAATTTAAGATAAATTGAATATATTTTAAAATAAAATCCCTCAAATATTTGATTAAGGTGTTGTGACACGCCAAGGTACTGATGTTTTGAATATTTATTATGTTTTTCTACAAACGTGCTTTTGAAAAAATACATTAAAATTGGGTGGACAAGTTAAAAAAAACTGGATCTTTTGTAATATACTAAAATATTTACAAAAAATATTAAAATACCTACCAACTATTGTAGAATCACCCTTACAGGGGCGGCTAGTGCATAAGGGCTGCAGAGCTGCAGAACAGAAATTATCTTATTACCAGACTAATTTTTTAATTATTTAATATTTAAGTGCGACAGTGTATAAATATTTCAAACGCATGGCTGCATAACAAGTTTTTATTATAAACTTTCGCCGTGTCGCCGTACTTGGCCACTACAGTCATCCAAACGACCGGTAAAGGTCTCTAACGCTTAACGCTTACAATACAACAAAGCTGGGCCACTTTCGAGTTCTGGCTCCCATTTCAATAACGTAATTTTGCTCCGCGCCGCTCTTGGTCCTGGGTTAAGATAGCGAAATTTAAGCCAAACCGGAGCTGCACCAACATACAGTTCTTACTTCCCGGTCGTTTGTTTTTCGCTTCGCGTTCACGTTTGTTATTTTAACTAAAAGACTGTTAATTCTGTGTATTTTTGTGTTTGTTGTTGTATTCTTTTGTAAGAATGAATGTGGTGTATGATTTAATTAATGTTAAAAAATTCTCCCTTTATACGTATGAAGAAAAATTAAAACTAAAAGAAGATGGACGGCCGTTGCCCGATAAATCAATAGAAAAGTGTGGTTCAAGCCGGGGAAAATCGTATAAAAGGATTTTTACAAGAGACATTTATGCCAGAAACGACTGGACATGCGGATGCAATAAAAATAATTCCTTTTTTGTTTTCCGTGCCTTTTGTTTGGTGGAGAAAAAACTTGGACCATAGTTGGTGTAACCGACTTAGTGCACCTAAGCGAAAAAATTAAACGTCATGAAACATCGAAAAACCACTTAAACAATGTTATGGGTTTGATGGGTAATTTTTTTAAACCCCACTGGCAGAACTCACAAATTTTACTGCCACGAGCCGCCACTGCACCCTTATATAGGTTGTCACAAAAATGGCGTCCTTACAGTATGTTAGCTGTAGGGGGGGTTATTTAAGTAATATATAATTTTGAATTGAATTTTATTTTTTAAATACTATTAAAAATTGCTTCCACATTAACTTTTGCGAATGCGCTACTGTTTAAAACCCCCACAGACGTCATTTTGACACGAAAACTGATGGAATGTCCTTCCAAAAAAAAAACGACAATCCAAGGCCGTAGGTTTGAAATCTCCCCTACCCTCCGAAATTTTAGAATAAATAAATTTAAGAAATTTTTGTATACAAAACTTAATCTGTGTTGTGTTGCAACCTTCAATCTTTTTTCTGAGCTGTTTCTCTTATTTTTGATTTTGATAAAAAAAAGTTACCTCTACATTTCTAAAAAATATAATATTAGTATATTCTGTAACAAGTTTGGAATACGGCTACTCAGAAATTTATGCTTAAAATAATTCCCACTCCTACTGTTAGTCGCGTTCTGTATCTCTGGTTAGTCGGTCACTTTTAGAACTGTATATTTTAGGTTTTTATTGCATTGTCGCCAATGCACGCAATCCTGCGTTTACACATGTTAGTCGTTTTTTCGCGTAAATACTATGTAATACTACGGTTAAATAAGTCATGACGTCACAGTTAATTCATATAACCATGGTTAGGTTTCTAACATTTGACATTTGTTTACTTGTTCTTAACCTATAATTTTTGAAATTTGTTTTTGCCTATTTATATTTTATTTCTATGCTTTTACCGGTGTAAATAAATTTCTTTGCCTCTTCTTATACCTAGAATATTCTTTTTCTATAGGTACTAGTTTTTTTAATACACGTTATCCAATTCTCCTACATGTTTAATACAAAATAAGGAAGAATATAAAACAAACCTGCATATAATTCCTCCACTTGTGGAGATTCCACAATATGGAGCACCTTATAATTTATTTTTACTGACAACACCCCGTTTACCATTTTAATACAAAGTTTAAATTCGGTTTAAGAGCAATTGTACCTACTTAAAATATTTTAAATTTCAAATGTAAACAACTTTTTGACAGATCGAAACAGAAAAATATATATTAAAAAGAGAAAGACTATTAACCACGTTGAATAACTAGCTCAGCGATATAGTTTTATGGTCTGGTATTTGTGACGTCATAGTTAGGATTTTTGAACGCACTCTAAACGCAAAAATGCCTTAACTATTAACCAAGGTTAAGTTTAATAACCATAGTATTTCATGGTATTTACGCGAAAAAACGACTGTTGTTTTTGTATTTTTTATAGGTATCTTAAAGACTAAAAATTTTTACCAAACAAAAATTTAATTACCTAAACTATTGGTTTAATACTAACATTCCAATGTTTATTTGATTGGTTTTATTTAAAAACGGAACCTTGCAAAATGTATGCAACCCATTACCAAGACTTGGTGCATACAATATGGCTTTCCAAAAATAGTAATTTTGCAAGCTTCTCAAATAAATATACATATGTTTTCTTTTCAGGAACACGCGTCCGAATGCGAATTTCAAGTGGAAACGACGCAGGTAGAAGAAGTGCATTCAACGCTCTCGTCGAAGCGAATAATGTGCGAAATTTGCGACCGAGTTTTTCCCCTAAACACAAACTACGAGGTTCACATTTCCGAATGTCTTGCAGAGAAAAAAAGGTCGATTTCGCGATAGGCCCCGCCCACCTTTGATTTGTTTTCCTTTGTGATAAGAAAATTCGAAAAAACCAACAAATCGCTGATGTTTATGTATGTGTATTGTAATCCGAATTTCAATTGCATTTACTGTCCCTCGATACAAAAAAAATATATTCTCATCATAATTTCATGCATTGAAACAATTTAAACTTACCCAGATACAGTCCCACCTTAGACCAATTTGTTCAGGTAATTTTTTTAATCAACGTTTTTATGTAAATTGATTTTATAAAATTGTATCAATTTAGTATTAATATTAAAAAATCATAAATGTTTATTACCTATATGAAAATGACTTTGACATGTAAATAGCCTAAATTTTTAAGTTTTGACACTTAAAAACCCAACTTATTTAAGTACACTTCAAGGAGTTGTTTTTTGAAATTTGGTCCTTTACTTTCTATAGAAAATGTTCTCTGTAGAAAGCAAAAAACCAATCAGAGCATTCTCCACACCACACTAAGTAAGATGGAAAATGCTGTGTTCTGATGCATTTCTATAAAGATCATTTTCTTTAGAAAGAAAAATATCAAGAAACACTGGGGGGTGTGCCTTTTAGTTCAAATGTTTAACAAAAATTTATAATTTTTTAATACTACGTAAATACTTTTGTTAAAACGAACAATTTAAGGTGAGACATAGTTTTTTAAATAAACTGGAATTAATTAATAATGATTATGATCAGTATCATCACAGTTGCAAAAATACGAGTAGTAGTAAGTTTAAATATGATTTATATAATTTTTCCTGTTTTTTCTTATACATAGTATATTGATAGGTTTAAAAAATATTTAGTAATGTTGAATAAACAAGTAAGTGTTTAAAATATTTATTGGTGTTTTAAAAATACCAATGTTAATTTTACAGATTTTTGTTCAGTTAGTTGATCTAACTACACAATAATAATTGAAGGGGTAAAAAGCTAAAGGGTACAAGTGGATTTTAGCATAAAAATAAGTGCAGAATTGGGTAGTTTGTAGTTCAATTTTTTTTTAATTTTCTTAAAACGTGAAAATTTTACGAGTTCTGCATGTTGATTAATGCAAAAATTAAAACAAGTATCCAGATTTTTGTATATAGCAAAAACTTTATAGTTAATAACTCCACTTCTGTTTTTTGCACTTGTACTTTTGCTTCTTATCCTTTTAATTATTATTTGTATAATTTGGAAATTGAAAAATTCAAAATTAATATATTATTTGGTTATAAAAAGTGCCTAAAAAGTTATAATCCTATTATTTTTGTTATTTCTTTTGTAGTTTTTTTTAATAAATGCTAAAAATTTTTTGTGACTTTATTTTTATAATTTTTCCTAAATAATGTATGCTTTTAATTAGATTAGAAAATACGCAAAATTATATATTTTTTCAAAGATATTTGCTGAACAATTTAGTTGCATTAATATGATTATTTTAGATAAATAAACATATCAAGTGGTGGTAAGTAGATAATTCTCCCAAATTTAAATAAAGTAAATATATTATAACGGTTTATCTTTTCCGCGATAGCCGATTGTTTATTCGTTAAACTGACTGCACTCAACCTTAGTTATTTAGTTTACAAGATTTAATCAATGAAAACAACATTCATGTGATGTTTCTCAAAACAGTTTCTGTGTTTTTGTGCCTAATAGCATTGGGAAAAACTAATATTGTTTTTCAACAGTGGCTAGTTAAAAATGGCAATGGATGTAAGGACATAATTTTGTGATGTTTTATGAATAAAACTAACTGTTCTTTTTTAAGCTTTTATTGACCTTAAGGCCACAGTGCCGGGCGGAATTTATACAGATTTAATGAACAACAAAATTATTGGTGATATTTTTTACGAATACAACGATGTCAATTATAGGTGGGTTGCCAAAGAAAACTGGACATACTATACAAAATTTACAGGTAAATTTTTAAATTTAAATAAAATATATATATTTATAAATATATACATGTGTATATACATAAAATAAATAAAAAAAGTAAGGTAAGAAGTAATGCCATCAACCTATCCAGCATCTCAGTTATTAGACATGGGACCCACATCAAATTTATATGAGTTTATAATGACATTATATAGACAAGTTCTGCCCAAGCAGAATTCAAATTGAAGTTTGCGAAAAAAAGTTTTTAAGTGTGCCCCCCAGCCTCCTGCCCCCCCAAATTAAGATAATTCAAATTAAATTGGTACAATATTTAATTCACTGAAGTTTATCGATAAATTTCAAATTTTATTAAAAAATTCAAGTATTACAGATTTTATACCTTTTCTATTTTTTTTAAATAAAATAAATAAAATAAATAAAATAAATAAAATAAATAAAATAAATAAAATAAATAAAATAAATAAAATAAATAAAATAAATAAAATAAATAAAATAAATAAAATAAATAAAATAAATAAAATAAATAAAATAAATAAAATAAATAAAATAAATAAAATAAATAAAATAAATAAAATAAATAAAATAAATAAAATAAATAAAATAAATAAAATAAATAAAATAAATAAAATAAATAAAATAAATAAAATAAATAAAATAAACTAAATAAATTAAATAAATAAAATGAATAAAATAAAAATTGAATTTTCAAATTAAAAAAATTATCAACACTGTGCCCCATGAGCTGAATAACACAATTCAAATAAAGGAGATGCGGCCCTCAGAGGGCATTATGAGGCCATAGAAATAATACAATAGTATTATTTATACCTAATAGGTATTACCTATGGCATGATATGTAGGTACAATTGTACCTAACTTTAAAGTTGTTTCTATGGAAGCGGCGAATATGGTCGTTTGTGTCAACAAATAAAAAACTTATTATCAACCATAAAACTGTATGGTCTAATTAACTTTAGTTATCAACAAATTTTAACTTTTTATTTTTGAAACGTCATTGAACATTGTTTTTGGCTTACCTTGTATCAGGGGTCTAATATTAAACTTAGCGAAAGGTAATAAAACCTATATGGTAATAATATATATACTATTATTATTATTATAATAATACCTATATTAATATAATTATTATTATACTCAGGGCCGGATTTACGAATTTGACGCCCATGGTCCAACGCATCATTACCCCGAATAACGAATGACTCAGCGAATAAGTTAGAGTCGCGCCCCACTCGCCTCCTGTACATCGACTGCCGCCCTTCTACGCAGTGACGCACTACGCAGAATAATAGTGTAGTCTGATATAAAATTATGTAATGTATTAAAAAACTTCTCTTCCATTTTTTTATAGTTTTAATTAGTGTATAAATCTGAGTGAAAACAAAAATTCTGCATAAAACGCTCTTGATTTTTTAGCAAAATTTTAACTGGCCTTTAAAATTTGCCGCCCCTAAAAATTTGCCGCCCTGGGCCCGGGCCCATGTGGCCCATGCCTAAATCCGGCCCTGATTATACTCGATCGTTTAAACTGGACATGATGGAATTTGCTGATAAAAAATAATGGACTTTGCTGTTTTGTTTGATATCAATATATAATATATATTATAATAATTATATAATTATTATATAATAACCAAAATATTTTTATAAAAATAGAACATCACTGTGAGTGTTCTTTGTTAAGCCTTTATAAATGTAATCCCGGCTAGCTCAGTCGGTAGAGCATGAGACTCTTAATCTCAGGGTCGTGGGTTCGAGCCCCACGTTGGGAGAAACTTTTTTTAACTTTTTTTTTATTGAATAAATTAAATAAAGTTTAATTAATTTTAGTTCAAGATGATTTTTTGAAAAACGAGCACATAAACATCGTTTTCGAGGGCTTGGACACTTACGCCGATGTAAAAATAAACAATATCACAGTGGGAAAAAGCCGAAATATGTTTGTCAAGTATATTTTTGATATTAAAAAAACACTTAAGGTAAGTACTTTTTTTAACTAGATTTAAAAAAATATTTTATACAGGGGGATATTTTTTAGCTGGGATTAAATACGTTGGAGGTGGAGTTTCGCTCCCCCTTGGAGATGGCTTTAAAGTTGGCAGAAATTCAAAATAAAAATTACAATATACCCCCTCAGTGTACCCCGGAATCCTACCATGGGGAATGCCATGTGAATTATTTAAGAAAAATGCAAGCTTCTTTTGCATGGGACTGGGGTCCAGCTTTTCCATCTATGGGAATATGGTAAAAACTTATTTTTGGTTGTTTTTTTGTTTACATTTTTTTACATAAACAATATAAATTTCTTTAAGATTAATTACTTAGGTATGTTATTGTTTTTGATGTTAAATTTTGAAAACCCCGAATAACCCGATATCGGGCCCCTTGGGGTCAAAACCGCGTGTTAACGTCAAAATAAAAATACCACTTGATTTGTATCGATTTTTGTTTTATTATTTTAACTATAAATAGTATTTTATTAGTATTATTTTAACTATATATAGTATTTATTAAATACCTAACTTAACAAAACTCTAATAAACCAACAAACAAACTAAACAAATTATAAAGATATTTTTATAATACCTAAAGGGGTCGTCCATAAAGTACTTCACACATTTTTGTAGATTTTATTCACCCCCTTCCCCATATTGTCAAAAAGTTTCGACCACCCCATCCCCAAAATCACACAACTTTATTTATTTATTAATTTAATTTTTTTTTCGTTTGATAAAATCTAAATAATAAAAAAACAATTTTAAGGAAGGATTTTAAAATACGAGGGTACAACAAAAATTTAGTGGAATACGTTGTTGCCGATGTTACGGAATCCAACGACCAATGGATAGTAAATGTTGATGTTTACTTCACCAACGATACAGAACATGCAGATGGAGATATATACTATGAACTCGATTTGGAATTCAAAAAAATCGAAGCTGTTTTACAAAATAATGTCACCAAAAATGAATATGGCGAAATTGTTAGAACATTTTCTTTTAGCGTGAATAAAGTAAGTCAACAAAATAATCTCGTATTTGCTCTATTTTATAGTCAGGTTTGTTTATATCGAAAAATAATAAAAATATTTTTTTAAGTATGACACTAAATTATGGTGGCCGAACGGTTATGGGGCCCAACAGTTATACAATTTAAAAATTCACTATGCAAATAAAAATATGGAAGAATATGTAGTAACTAAACGAATAGGATTTAGAACGATAGAATTAGTTCAGGAAAAAATAAGTATAAAAAACAAATCTTAAATAATATTGTCTATTTAAATATACTAATTATATATTTTTTAAGAAAATGGTCTTACATTTTACTTTAAAGTAAATAACGAACCAATATTCATAAAGGGTGCTAACGAAATCCCTATAGATATTTTACCGGAAAAGGGACTAAATAAAGAAAAAATAAAAAGACTTCTTACAACAGCTTATGACTCACATATGAACATGTTACGGGTTTGGGGTGGTGGGGTATATGAATCCGATTATTTTTACGATGTGGCAGATGAGCTGGGAATTTTAATATGGCAAGATTTTATGTTTGCTTGTGCTCTGTATCCTGTAGACGAAGGATTTTTAACGTTTGTATACTTTGTTAACTATTTGTAAATATAAGTTCTATAAAGTGTACCTACCTTCAGAAATATTCGGACCATTGTGTATGTGGGCACTATACGTATAGTAAGACCCAAGCGAAATCTTGCCGGCTTTGCCTAATGTCGAAGGTCAAAGGTCACAAAAATAGTTTTTCTCGATTGTCTCGTAAACTATTGGTAAATTTTTTTGAAGATGGTCTAAATTGACTGGGTCCCTTCTACACAGTCTTTAGTCTAAGGTTTTCATAATATATTTAATTTTGTAGTAATGTTGTGGACGAAGTTCGTCATCAAGTAAAACGACTCTACGGACATCCAAGTATAGCTCTATTTGCTGGTAACAATGAAAACGAAGCCGCCATAGCTCAAAACTGGTAAAACACAAATTAAGGATGTTTTATGGGTTAATAATCATTTATTTATCACTAGGTATCAAACCAATGGAAATAAAAATCAATTTGTCAAAGACTATGTAAAACTGTATATAGATACCATTGAAAACGAATATAATCGTTTAACAAATTTTAGAGGTTTATTTTTAAGCTCTAGTCCTACCAATGGTGATCAGTCTAAAAATGAAGGCTATGTTGCCAAGGAGCCAGGCAGCAGTTTCTATGGAGATGGTAAAATAGTACCTATATTACTTAATAATTAATAACGCTCTACCTCCCCAATATATGGTGCTCAGTTTTATTTTTTATTTAGGAATTATTCGTATGTGCTGATAATTTCAGTTATGTGAAATTCAAACAAATAATTATAACGAATATCAGGTGAAAACTTGGCCTTTTGCCTTCGGAAATATTTTGCCAATACATGTACAAGATCCAAATCGTATCCAATAAAATGCCAAAGCAGTTTGGGTTAGGTTACCGTTCGTATAATTTTGCGAATGTTTGGACATGGAAAAACGATGCCACATTTTTGACGTTAACAAATTTGTTTGGGCAAATATTTAAACAAATTTATACAAATATTAATTAAACATGAAAGATTATTACTAGAAAAAAGAAATATACAGATTTTTATCATTTATATTGTAATGATTACATGTACTCTTTTAATTTTTGGAAACAGTTAACTGTTTCCAATTGGTACGTATTTATAAATACTATAGTACCTATAGGTATACCTATAGGTATACCTAAAATTTGTTTTTTAAAACTTAACACACGTTTAACAATAAACACAGGTTTAACGACAAATAATTATATATTTTTTAAATATATTTACCTATAGGTAACTATCACGTTTTTCATGCCTTTTTGTACGGAACATATGAATTTTTTAAATTTACACATAAAAAGTCTTAAATGTTATGACCTTAAACTGAACGGACGAACGACTTTTTGTATTTATATTTTTGCCTATTACAAGTGTATTTTTACAACAGTTCTACCCAATAAAAAGTAAAAAACCAATCAATCATACTAATTTTTTTATTTACGCTTAAGCGTAAATAAAAATACAGGCGAAAAGCGCGTCAAGTTAACGTGCATCGTTGAGAGTCGCTAGGACAGAGGCCAAATTTTCACAGCCTCGGAAGCTCCTATTTACCTCTTGAAAGTGAAAATGACTCACCAACAAAAATATCGCCGGAAGTTCGCTAATAAATACCGTAGATGAGGCGAAATTTAGTTAGCTTGGCTTGTTCTGATTGGTGGTTTTATCACATGACCGATGATAATCGCTTGTGGGGTCCGTCTATGGTGGGATGCCAATGTTCTCTTAGCGTTTGTAGAGCACGTTATTGTTTTGATTCAGACTAAATTATTTAAAACTTTTGGCTGATCTTTTATAGTTTTTGTCTCGATTAGTAAAATTTCTTATTTAATTATTGTAGGGAACACACTAAGGTAGATTTAGCAGTTTTTATTAAGCAAATTTTATATTTTGAAATAATAGATTGCATAATTCTTCAATTAGAGACGCGGTTTGAAAATTTAGAACTACTTTCAAATCTCACTGCAGACCCACAATTTTACGACCAAATAATAGATAAATTTGCAAACTTAATAGTATTTTATATTTTTTAATACTTAGGTAGGGGTCGACTTTTTAGTTTTATTTTTATTTTTTGATTAATTTATTTATTTTTAACTTTTTTAAGACTATATAAGTTTAAGATTAAAACTAGTCTTTGATGTGATATTTTGTTTGTTTTGTTTTTTAGAGTATATTTTTTATTTATAATGGTTTAGTAGGGCTATCGACTCCATTTTAAAAAAGATCAACGGGTCGCAGAATAATACCGCCCGGGTGACGTGGAAATTTATTCGTATTTATTAGACAAAATTAACCTTATGTAGCCTCGCCCTCCTGTACACCCACGAGCCGCCACTGATACATAGTCGCTAATGCGCATAAGCAAACTGGTCAAAGTTTTGCCAATTTTCGACCAAACTTCATTACAAACGAAATTGGCCAAAAAATAACTATATACCCTGCTGAAAAAGACGGGTAATATCGGATGATTGCGGGTAAAAAACCAAGCTAGTTTTATGTCCATTTAAATCTGTTTTTATCCGACATATCTGATTTAACCCGGCATGTCGGTTTTTATCTGCAATTGCGGGTATAAATATTATCCGCGAACGTCGGGTTTTATCTATTTAGATCTATGTCTGCTTTTATCTGTTTTCATCCGCAAATACCTGTATTTGAGTTTATATCTGCATTCACCCGGTTTTATCTGATTTTATCCGCAAACATCTACTTTAATCGGCAAACGTCTGCTTTATCCGATTTCACCTGCAAACATCTGCTTTTATACGTGAAGATCTACTTTCATCCGCGAACATCTATTTTAATCCACAAACATCTGTTTTAATCCGCAAACATCTCATTTAGTCCGCAAAAGTCTGATTCATAAGATTTCACCTGCAAACATCTGCTTTTATCCGCAAACATCTGATTTTATCTTCAAACATCTGATGTTATCCGCAAACATCTGCATTTATCCGTAAACATCTGGTTTTATCCGCGAACATCTGATTTTATCCGCAAACATCTGATTTTATACGCAAACATCTGATTTTATCCCCAAACATCTGCTTTTATCCGCAAACATCTGATTTTATCCGCAAACATCTGATTTTATCCACAAACATCTGATTTTATCCGAAAACATCTGCTTTTATCCGCAAACATCTGCTTTTATTCGCAAACATCTGATTTTATCCGCAAACATCTGCTTTTATCCGCAAACATCTGATTTTATCCACAAACAACTGATTTTATTCGCAAACATCTGATTTTATCCGCAAACATCTGCTTTTATCGGCAAACATCTGCTTTTATCCGCAAATATCGGTTTTAATCCGCAAACATATGATTTTATACGCAAACATCTGATTTTTATCTGCAAATGTCTGCTTTTATCCGCAAACATCTGATTTTATCCGCAAACATCTGATGTTATCCGCAAACATCTGATTTTAATCGCAAACATCTGATTTTATCCGCAAACATCTGCTTTTATCGGCAAACATCTGCTTTTATCCGCAAATATCTGATTTTATACGCAAACATCTGCTTTTATCCGCAAACATCTGCTTTTATCCGCAAACATCTGATTTTATCCGCAAACATCTGATTTTAATCGCAAACATCTGATTTTATCCGCAAACATCTGCATTTATCCGCAAATATCTGCGAACATCTGCAAACATCTGCTTTTAACTGCAAACCTCTGCTTTTATCCGCGTTCGGTTTGTCTGCATTTCCTTTGTCCATTTCGGTCCTGTTTCGTACGCAAACGTCTGGTTTCATTCGCGCTTTTTGTTTTCCTTTTTCTCGTGTATACTTTAGGGACATAAATAGATATTTTTTAATCATTAAGCTTACATTTAAATTAATTGTTAGAAAACATATATGTTTAATTTCAAATACATTTGGAATTATAACATCTTCAATTTGTATGGAATTTGTTTGAAAAACACTTATTTAGGCATAGAATTTTTCATCTAACTTTAAAAACTTTTTAATTTTGGCATAACCAATATTTTTAATATATATTTAAGAATTAATAGACTTATTATTTCTGTGGTACTCTTCACTATAGTATACCTGATTTTTAAATTTAAATCTGGTGAATATAATTAAATTATTTTTCCATTGGGAAAATGTCATGTTGAATAAACTTATTTTCTTTACAGGTTGTTTTTATTCAAATAATTCTTTTTAGAGTTATAAAGTTGTGTGCTGTGAACGGCTAACAACAAGTTAGTTAAAGCTCAGTAAAATTTGACAAAGCAGGTAAACTTAACTAAAGTATACACGAGAAAAAGGAAAACAAAAAGCGCGAATGAAACCAGACGTTTGTGTACGAAACAGGACCGAAATGGACAAAGGAAATACAGGCAAACCGAACGCGGATGAAAGCAGAGATTTGCAATTAAAAGCAGATGTTTGGAGATGTTCGCGAATAAAAGCAGATATTTGCGGATAAATGCAGATGTTTGCGGATAAAATCAGATGTTTGCGGATAAAAGCAGATGTTTGCGGATAAAATCAGATGTTTGCGAATAAAATCAGTTGTTTGTGGGTAAAATCAGATGTTTGCGGATAAAAGAAGATGTTTGCAAATAAAATCAGATGTTTGCGGATAAAGGCAGATGTTTGCGGGGGTGCACTAACCGGATGAAATAAGGCGTTCGCAGATAAAAGCATGTTTACGGGTGAAAGCGTATGAAACCAGATGTTTGGGGATGAAAGCAGATGTTTGCGGATAAAAGCAGATGTTCGCGGATAAAATGAGATGTTTGCGGATAAAAGCAGATGTTCGCGGATAAAAGCAGATATTTGCGGATAAAATCAGATGTTAGCATATAAAATCAAATGTTTGGGGATGAAAGCAGATGTTTGCGGATAAAAGCAGATGTTCGCGGATAAATTGAGATGTTTGCGGATAAAAGCAGATGTTCGCGGATAAAAGCAGATATTTGCGGATAAAATCAGATGTTTGCAGATAAAAGCAAATGTTTGGGGATGAAAGCAGATGTTTGCGGATAAAAGCAGATGTTCGCGGATAAATTGAGATGTTTGCGAATAAAAGCAGATGTTCGCGGATGATTGCAGATGTTCGCGGATAAAATGAGATGTTCGCGGATAAAAGCAGATGTTCGCGGATGAAAGCAGATATCGGGTGGTTGCAGATGTTTGCGGGTGATTGCAGATGTTCGCGGATAAAAGCAGTTGTTCGCGGGTGACTGCAGATGTTCGCGGATGAAAGCAGATGTTCGCGGATAAAAGCAGATGTTGGCGGATAAAATCAGATGTTCGCGGATGAAAGCAGATGTTCGCGGATGATTGCAGATGTTCGCGGATAAAATGAGATGTTCGCGGATAAAAGCAGATGTTCGCGGATGAAAGCAGATGTTTGCGGATAAAAGCAGTTGTTCGCGGGTGACTGCAGATGTTCGCGGATGAAAGCAGATGTTTGCGGATAAAAACAGATGTTCGCGGATAAAATGAGATGTTCGCGGATGAAAGCAGATGTTCGCGGGTGATTGCAGATGTTCGCGGATAAAAGCAGATGATTGCGGGGGTGCACTAACCGGATGAAATCAGGCGTTCGCAGATAAAAGCATGTTTGTGGGTGAAACCGTATGAAAATAGATGTTTGCGGATAAAACTAGACGTTTGCGGATGAAAGCAGATGTTCGCGGGTGATTGCAGATGTTCGCGGGTGATTGCAGATGTTCGCGGGTGATTGCAGATGTTCGCGGATAAAAGCAGTTGTTCGCGGGTGACTGCAGATGTTCGCGGATGAAAGCAGATGTTCGCGGATAAAAGCAGATGTTGGCGGATAAAATCAGATGTTCGCGGATGAAAGCAGATGTTCGCGGGTAGAAGCATATGCTCGCGGATAAAACCAGACGTTTGCAGATAAAACCCGACAAAAATAGACGAAAAAAAATGCAGGTAATCGCGGATAAAAACAGACGTAAGCAGAAGTTTGCAGATGATTCCGGACAAATTCAGATATAAACGAAACACAGTGAAGACGGTTAAAAACAGATGATTGTAGATGATTGCGGGGGTGCACTAACCGGACATAAAACACAACCAACCGGGTGTTCGCGGATATAGCGATGCGGACAAAAGCAGATGTTATCAGATCATATTTTTACCCGCTTTTATCTGCTTTTATCCGGCTTCGACGAAGAATTTACACCCGCAATCATCTGCTTTTATCCGGTTTTGACGAAGAATTTATATCCGCAATCATCCGTCATTTTCAGCAGGGTAGGTATATTTAAGTCTTTATTTTTATGCAGTTTTTGGGCTATCGCTTGGGAAATGATTGGCATAAAATATGTCTGTTTTTGGTCAAACGTGACGACAATGACAATTCACATTTTTCTAGCAATATTTTAGCCTATGTAATTTGCCGCGCGCCACAATCAAAGTCAGTTTTTTTTAAATTACAACTCTTTATTTTTGTTGCATATTTGGATAGCTACCGTTGTTTTGGTTACATTGATGTGCCACCTCTGGAGGGTTACATGGGACAATTTTTGAGAAAAGCAGGTTTTTGCCGCCGAATAAGATTTTGGTATTTTGTCAAACTTAAACACAATCTATGCGTTGCATAATGTTTTTTGAGAAGCCAATCAGAGCAGTTGCGTAAACTATTTGGCAGTGGACCAGCCTGTCCACAAACGAGCGTTGTACGTTTGCCAGTACCGCTGGAGTGATCATCTGGATCTCGGCTTGAATGCGGTGTCTTAGGTCGTCCAAATTTTGATGCCTGTTTACATAGACGCGGTTTTTAAGATGTCCCCATAAAAATAAGTCTAAAGGGGTCAAATCGGGCGATCGCGCTGGCCACTCGATTTGACCTCTTTGACCTATCCAGCGATTGGGAAACATAATCCCTTATTAGCAATGCATAGGGTGGTGGTGCCCCGTAACAGCGAATAAGTTCGTTAAAATACCAAAATTTCAATCGGCGGCAAAAACCTGCTTTTCTAGTAGTATCCTTATTCTTATGTAATATTTTTACTTTAATTGAAAATATTACTTTAGTGTTAACACATATGAATAATTCCTAAAGAAAAATAAAACGGCGACCCATGCCGATCCAGTGTTGCCACACGGTGAAAGTGAAATTAAAAACACGTAATTAAATAATTAAATTAAAATTTAAAAGATATGAAATAAATAAAAGAGCAATTTTTTTCTCAAAAACGCAAATAAAAAACGTTTAACATCAAAAACACCACAATTAAAACAAAAGTTAAAAATAATATTTAAGTGCCCTATCTATAGGTGCAAAACTAACTTATTGCTTTAAATATCCAGCTTAAAAAATCGCAAAAGACATTAATAGGTATTATTAAGAACAAATTTTAAGTCCCAAAATATTTGTACAACCTTTAGTTAATAAATTTTGGATTAAACGGATTTTAAAAACTAATTAAGATATACAATATTGTAGTTATTTGAGAAAACATAATTTTCAACATGCTTGCAGTCTGCAGAGGTGGTCCAAGCGTAATATGTGTAGAGATAAGCAAAAAAATTTATTTGTGTTAAAACAACATATAAAATAAATAAAAATTAGTAAATTAGTGAATAACCCGTATCTTATAAGTACTGTATGAATGGAAACACTGACCCAATCTGGTCCAAGTTTTAATTTTAGAAATTTTTATATCTTTTCTGTTTTAGTTCTATATCTTTTTTGGTTTTAGTTCATTACTACAACTACGTCTTGGATTCTTTTAAAATTTCTACTTATCCAAAACCTAGATTTGCGTCCGAATATGGCTATCAGTCATACCCAAGCTTTAACACCATGCTTACTACAACAAAAGACATTAAAAACCTAAACCTAAGTAGTGCTTTTATGGACCACATTCAGCACCACCCTGTTGGTAACATTGAAATGAAAACTCTTATCGATTATCAACTTAAATTGCCTGATAAAAATCACCCCAACTACACAAGAGCTTTTATATATTATTCACAGGTATGTTTTTAAGTAGAAGCCAACCATTTTCGTATAGAAATATTGTTTTTTTTAGATTATACAGGCGATGTCGATAAAAATCGAAACTGAACACTATCGAAGTCTCCGTAGCGATTTGGACGCTTCCGGTCAAGGCCAGACTATGGGCGCCCTCTATTGGCAACTTAATGACGTTTGGGTGGCACCCACCTGGTCAGGAATAGGTATACAATTCTATTAAAAACTCAATTTTATAAAAAAATTTACTTGTTATAATTTTTTTAGATTATTTGGGAAAATGGAAAATGCTTCAATACTATACAATGGACTTTTTTGCACCTGTAATCGTTACAGGCAGTGTGGATGCTGCTAGGAACTTAAACATTTACGTAGTGTCTGATAAGTTATCAGAATTATTGGATGTTACTTTATATTTGGAAGTTTATAACTGGAACTCTACAGAACTAAAGCCAGTAAACATTATGGAAAAAGCTATTGATAGTATTGTAAGAAAACAATATTTTTAATATTTGAACATAAGTTACATCATTATGGTTTTAGATGCCTTCTTCTTCAATGACGATACTAAATTTTCAATTAGATAAATATTTAAGTAGTATAGACAAATGTCAAATTTCAAACTCATTACCTAAAAATAACTGTTTCATTCATTTGCGTCTTAAAATTAATCACAGCAATATTTATCCAGAAAATTTTGTGATACCAGGCAAAATAAAGGACTCTAACATCCCAATACCAAATATACAGGTAAAGAAAAATACTAAAAAGGTTTTCTTAAAAATACATATTTTTTGTAGATATCATATGTAAAAACAATAGGCGTTAAAAAATTTGAAATCGTTTTAAAAACCGATAAAATAGCGCTATTTGTATGGCTGGAATCTCATCCAATCAAAGGAAGATTTTCGGAAAACGGATTTATACAAATAAATAGCACAAAAACCATTTATTTCTACAGCGACGATAATGTTACCCTGGAAAATTTTAAATCTGGTTTATACTTGACCAATTTACTTGATACACATTATTTTTAAACAATAAAAATTAAATACAACATTGTTTTTACTTTATTACACCCCTTACTACTTATTATATTTTTAGTACGTCCCTGTATTTCTAGTGACTTTTAGGCGAATCCAACAACAGTTGGTAATCCTGTACTCAAAACGTCAAATTTGGAAAAAAGGAGGTATGTGTCAAGATTGTTGACAAATATTTACATATTTCGGAATATATAAGCTTTAATTAAAATTTTTAAACTGGCGCATTACAAGGATATATACGGGGGTATGGATGTAGATCCATCCCCTAGCTCATCTAGTAAGTATTTTAGTGTTTTTTGAGTTTTTAGGTTAAGTTTAATTTTTGCGTTTTTTTATGACAACAAGTGTTTAATTATTATCTGGATAAGTTTAAAATAATTAATTTAATAAGGGTATATTGCGTTTTATTGCAAATTGGTTATTTTTTAAGGTTATTCAACATCCCTTGTTTTACCTAAAATAGATGAAAATAACACATTGGAAATGCGAAATCCTAAAGAGAGAATGATAGAAATACTGGATGTGCTAGAAGGGCAAGTAGAAAAATTAAGAAAAGAAGCTTATCAATTGGAGGAAAATAAAGATCAACTACTGTCCTCTCTAGATTCTGTGAGAAATGCAGACTTATTACTGGATGACAGTAAGGACTAATATTAACAGAAAATAATAATGTACCATAATAATATTCCAATAAAACTTTATTTTAGATGATAGAGAGGATATTAACCGCTATGCAGACAGAATAATGAACAGATGTTTGACTGTGGAAGTGAAAGTACTAACAAATCGAGATCAAATGCAAGAGGAGGCTTTACATCAAGTAAACCACTTAATTGATGGTTTAGTAATGGGTTTAAAAGTTGACCCAGTTTCGGCAAAACTAAAATGTGTTTCCTATATGAATGCCTGTTCTTCAAATGTAGAAAATGGTGTGACTGACAAAAGATTTGAATCTGCTTTATTAGGTTGTACTTTAGATGATCAAAAAAGGGTTAAAAAACGATTACAGGGTTTGTTGAATTACTTTGATAAATCAAAAATTACGTCCTTACAGTGATTTTGGTTAAGTTTTAAGCTAAAAGTATTATGTTTAAGAGTACAAAGCAGAATGCTTTGATGTTTAAATTGTTAATGAATCAAAATTTGCTGCTTAAATATCAGATATTTAACGATTACTAGATAAAATTATTAAAATATACTAAATGTGATAATAAATGTACCAGTTAAATGTTATTCACTTTTAAAAAATCGTGATTTGTCACAGAGTGATTATTTATTTTTTATTCCTTGCCATTGTTTTTAATTATTTGTACTTATATTTGCCTAATATACATTATTAAAAATTTAACTATTTTTGAATTTAATTACCTATTTTAATCAAGTTATAAAATAATTTTTAATTTATAATAATAAAAACTTGTATAAAAATATTAATTTTTAAAAAGTTTGTTAAAAATTCTTAGTCGTTTTTTCGCGTAAATACTATGTAATATTACATAGTATATACTACGGTTAAATAAGTCATGACGTCACAGTTAATTCATATAACCATGGTTAGGTTTCTAACATTTGACATTTGTTTACTTGTTCATAACCTATAATTTTTTAAATGTGTTTTTACCTATTTATATTTAATTTCTTTTACCGGTGTAAATAAATTTCTTTGCCTCTTCTTACACTTAGTATATTCTTTTTCAATACACGTTATCCAATTCTCCTACATGTTTAATACAAAATAAGGAAGAATATAAAACAAACCTGCATATAATTCCTCCTTGTGGAGATTCCACAATATGGAGCACCCTATCATTTATTTTCACTGAGAACACCCCGTTTACCATTTTAATACAAAGTTTAAATTCGGCTTAAGAGCAATTGTACCTACTTAAAATATTTTAAATTTCAAATGTAAACAACTTTTTGACAGATCGAAACAGAAAAATTTATATTAAAAAGAGAAAGACTATTAACCACGTTGGATAACTAGCTCAGCGATATAGTTTTATGGTCTGGTATTTGTGACGTCATAGTTAGGATTTTTGAACGCACTCTAAACGCAAAAATGCCTTAACTATTAACCAAGGTTAAGTTTAATAACCATAGTATTTCATGGTATTTACGCGAAAAAACGACTTTATTGTTAAAAAAAGTCTAAATAGGTTAAGAAAAATCTAAAAGAAAGTCTAAAAAGTTAATGGGACTTTAAACAACCATTGAAGAGCCAAATGAACTCTTATTACAGACAAAATACCACCAATGAATTTAGTAAAAAGGTTTAATTGATAAGGTCAAAATTGGGCCCATTGCGAATAAAAGAAATTAATAATGGCAAAGAAATTTCTTTATTTTAGAGAACAATCTACCAAAAAAATCAAGAGAACTTATTTGTAAATATACAGGGTTCACCTAACATTATGAAACTTATAATGAATAAGTTAGGTCCTAACTTATTCATTAAGTTCTTTCAGAACGGAAAAAGATTTCGATTTGAAATTTGTGTAGCAATTAAAAGGCAATGTAAATAATTTTTTAAAATATTTTTCTTGCGTTATCACTTCCGGTTAAACCGGAGTATAAAACATGTTTAGAAGATATTGATTAGTGTAATTATTATCACCCATTGTAACACAATTGTCAGAGACGTTGACATTGACATTAATTCATAAATACTAAATAAAAGACAATCCAATGCGCACTACTTATATTACAAATAAAAAAATAAGCGTTTTTTTTTAATTTTTGTAATATCTTTGTAAATATTCATTTTAGGTACTATAGGGAATGCTGCAGCATTTCAATAGAAAACATTATTTTGTGTCAAATGATGTGAAAATTGTATGGTAGTTTCGTTTGAAATAAAAAAGTTATTGGTATTTAAAGTGACAAAAAAGTCAACGTAAACGCCAGACACCCTGTATAAATTTTTTAAATACTATTAATGGCTTTCGATAGTGCTCCTTAGTTAACAGGTACGCCATAAATTAACTTTATAACATTACAAGTAGTGGTAATACAGAAATATTAGTAAGACCATCCATCTGTCAAAATTTTTGAAAAAAATTCAATATCTCAAAAACTGTTCAAAATATTTTTTTAATGTTTTAGAATTTTACTTAGAATTTAAAAATGCAATAATATTTGAATGGTTCCATTTGATAAACCAAAGTTGATATCACTTCCGGTTTAAGATGAATTGATAAAACATTAAAAATAATTTTAAAAAAATAGTTTTAAAATCGCTATACAAATTTCAAATTGATTGATGAGTTACTTTTTCCGTTCTCCATAAACTTCTAATGAATATTTACCGCCGACGGTGGACTAGTGGTTACTGCTGCTGACTACAAGCCGAGAGGTCTTGGGTTCAAATCCCACCAGAGGTATGGCTATATCCTTCGGAGGGGATTTTAAGCCCGCGGTCCGTTCCTACCTCTAACCCGCTCAAGCCATTCAGTTGGCTTCCCTGTTGTAAATGACCGATTAATTCCTGTAGAAACCAATTGAAGTCTTATTGGTTGGTATCAATGGGTCTGAATTGGACTTACTGGATTTAATTGGGCGCGATATAAAACAGAAATTGGTTTTTACTGGTATTTTCCATGATGGAAAAGTCCAATTAGGATTCTAATGTTTTTTATTGGTTTCGATTGGATAAAGCTACCCATGGGTAATTTCCAATTAAATTCAATTGGGCATTTCCAGTGTAAGATTCGAAAAAGGAATCTGCTAATTGGTTATTCCCAATACTTTAAAATATGGAAAAATCCAATTAGGATTCTACTGTTTTTTAGCGGTTTCGATTGGATAAAGCTACCTATAGGTAATTTCCAATTGAATTCAATTGGGCATTTCCAGTGTAAGATTAGAAAAATCTGCTAATTGGTTATTCCCAATACAATACAAATATCGCAAGAGGGCTCTCGTGTAGCTGCTCAAAACCAACGAGGTTGAGACGCCATCATAAAGAAAAAACAACACAAACAAGTCTTTGGACGCCATTTATTAGCGGTTTATTTTATTAGTCGATTTCTGTGTTAAGTGCCTAGTGATAGTAGTGTACTTATATCTTAAAAAAATGTTTATATGTGTAAGGTTTAGGGACGATGGCGTAAGAATGGTTGTCACAGCGGACAAAATAAAAAAAATTGACATAAACAATATCGACTTTGACCATGCCTACAAACATCCTTTGCAAGAAAGACAAAAAAATTATTATAACCGAGTAATTTTATTTATTTTTTATTACTTTTTTTGTGATAGTATGTATCAATACATATGTACATATATCACAAAAAAAAATAATAAAGAAATAAAATTACTCAGTAACAATACATTTTTTGTCTCTTCTGTGAAAAATGAATTCTGGTTTTTACCCGGTTATCCTTCTGGAATCTAAAATTATTTTTGAATGAAAAATAAACTGGTAGAAGAAGTTTTCTTTGTATCATGAGTTTTTCTATGATTTTATGTGTTTATGAGTTTCTTTAGTCAATGAAATGAAAGGTGTGCAGTGTTGCCAGGTCTATTAGAGGGATTCATAAAATAATACAATTGTTTTAAAGCATAGTAATATATTATATACAGACAATGGCACAAAGATGTTCAAACGTTGAGCAATTAAATGTGCATCAAGTATACAGGTACCAAATATTTAAATCATACAATAGAAAAAAGTAAAATTGCACTTATTCCCAAAGAGAATTAAAAAAATATATGTATTTACGTCTTCTAAAATAATAAAAAGTATGTTAAATATGCTAACATAGATTATCCCAAATATATTTTATTTAATTTTAAATACAGGATGTATGAAAATGGTGCCACAACATCACATGCATGCATGACACTGTATTTATTTTTCTTTATTAAGCATTTGCCAACACTGTAAATTTTGAGATTAAGAATCAAATTTTTTCCAGTAGTTGTTCAGAAAACAAATCAAATAAAAAATTCTAATAAGAAAAATAATGCATTTTTGTTATACAAAAAATAGGTTGTTGCACCATATTCAAGACACCTTGGAGAAGGCGTTTGTTACAATACACAAAGCAAAAAACACACATAAAAAAAACATAGGCCAACAACATTATACAGGGTGTAACATTATAATAATTGACGATTAACAATGAATTTTGACCCACCCTGAACTTATCAATGGTTTAAAAATCCAAGTAGGTATTTAAATTTTCCAATTTTTCAACAATTTTCAATTTTTCAACAATTTCTCATCTTACTGACAATTTTAACAATCATATAATATTCGTTCACAAGTTACATCATAAGGCACAAATATTTCCAGTTCATGTTTTCATATTTAAAAATTTACAATTGTATACAGTCATGCACAAGACAAAAAAACGACTGTATGGCAAAGAAATCCCACAAAACCGGGTATCAGTAAACAACACTGGCCAACATGAAAAATGCCATTAAAAAAATAAATTTTTTTTGTTATAAACATAGCAGAAAGGTTTAAATTCGTTGACCAGCATAATCAGTCTAATAAAAATGATTGAGGGAATCCTCAATCTACTTAACTACAATTAATTGATTGTTATATGTAGGTGCTCAAAGAAATATAAAATTGTACAAAAATCAGTCTGAAATCTAAGAGGGAGGGGACAAAACTGACCTATTTTAGATGTCTCTAAGAATGTCTTCCGTGGTTTTCATTAACTCACTGAACGTGGGACGATCATGCGGGTCTCTGTTCCAACAGGGCAGTATGAGAAGGGTGTATACTTTTTGCAGCTTACAGTTTAATGGGGCAGGGTAGCTAAAAAAAGAAAAGTCATTTTTACAATTATACAAAAAGAAAAAACACCCCAGCAAACAAAGGATTGGGCCCATTTCTGAGTCAAGTAGCTGGAGATTTGTAACTTAAGCATTGGTACAATTTAATTGTATTGGTTCCTCTTACATATTTACATGGTTACTTTTAATATTTATATAAATATTAATATAAATTTTGATTATTAAATTATAATTTAAAGGCAAGGATAAGCGAGATAAGAATAAAAAACGATAGCCAATCCCAATACAAGGCCATAGGGACTTATGTAAATTGCTAGGATACTTAGGATGCATGGTTTATATTATAATATGTAAAATATTTGGTCGACTGGAATCCACTTCATTGTGACACTGCTGTCAATTTTTGTTCCTGTCATTATTTATCATTTTAAGTTGTTTTCCTTTTCTGATTATGCCGAAATGATGATTATTTATGGGGAGTTTGGGCGCAATGCTAGGGAGTTGTTCTGCGTTGTAACGAAATTAAGGGTATTAGAACAAAGGAAAATAATGCAAATAGTAGGAAGAGCATAAGGAAAGTTGCACGTGAATTTCCCGTTCACAGTTCAGCAGGTCATGAAGGACGTTCATTTTACGCGAGTGCAGCACCTGCAGCCGGAAGATATATTGTTTAATTTTTACTTTAAAACATTGGCGTCCTGAAGTATGACATTCTTTTTTGAAAGGTTAGTAAACACATCCATGTTCTATCGTCTCATAGCAATTTTTAAAGCTACGTTTAACCTAGTCGAGAGCTCTCGGTATTGGTTGCCGCTTTTTTGCTCTCATTTGATTTCACTATTACCTAGAAGATTTTTATTTTGATATTTAAACGATTTTGACCCTTGCAAAATAGATATCGGCCGATATCGCACTGAAACCGATATCTAAATCTACCCTTGTGGAAATTTTTCTCTGAGAAAGTTTTAATAAGAGTTTTGAAAGTCTTACTTTCTCTGAAAGTCTGAATAAGACTTATTAAGTCGGAAAAAGCCTGAATAAGTCTTAGTAAGTCAGACTAATAAACCAAGATTTGGGAGACTTTTAGCAACCTATAGCTATTAAAATAAATATCCGGAATTACGAGGGTGGATCAATAAGTACCCGTGTTTGAAGACAGAGCGAAGTTGGCTTTACCATCGTGTACTGTCATCTGTCATACGACACCATACTAAATTTCAAACTGATTCATGGTTGGTTTTTATTTGGCAGCCACTTGTACCATACGTGTGTCGCATTAAGCTTAATTTTCATGTATCCGTTTGTCCGTCAGTCCCTTCATCCGGGAGCGCTCTTAAGCCTGAATTATAGATTGCCTTCCTTCCTTCCTTCCTTCCTCCCTGAACAATACGAAATCCAATAAACATTTTTGACGTAATTGTCACCATTAACATTTCCCGTGTAAGAATTTTTCCAATATCGTCGAAATTTAGATATTTGCACCAACTGTTTCCTAACCTCCATTATACAAATAAGTGTTTCTCGTAAAAATGTCATAGGTTTCATAATAATTAAATATGAAATTTAGCTTGTTCTTCTAAAAACATCACAAGTCCACTCCGTTTCGTCTAAGAAAGTCACCTGTTCATAACATGTGACATTAGCACCTGACAGTCCTGATAACACGGTCGACAACGATGATAACAGCAGTGGATGCGAAGACTGAGTGTGGCAGTAATACAGTTTTTAGTTTTTTCATTTATTTTGTTACTCAGAGTTAATATTTAGTTTGTAGTGTTTGTAGTAAGGAGAATTGTTCGTTTTTTTCTTCTAAAAACCTCACATGTTCATGTATTTTTTGTGTTTTTTTCATATTCGTTTGAAAAAACAAACATGAGGAATTCTGGACGAAGTATCTTACATTTTTTTAGATGTAGTAAATAGGTCAATAAAGTACTTTGGTCAAAAATGGGAATGTCGGAGAGTTTTTTTCATTTTCCCAAATATGTTAATTTTGGACTAATGATGTTTTTCCGAGAAACGCGTCAATTAATAACGGGCAATGTTAATGGTGACAATTACGTCAAAAATGTTTATTTAAATCGTAGTGCCATTTATAGATTTCCGTACCGAAAAAACGGCATTCCTTCCTCCCGTAGAAATTTTTAAGTTTTATCTTTCACCGTAAAGGTCTTTGACATGACCAATCACAGTGCTTGTTATGGACAAAATATTTAAAATACATGATTGTTTAGTATTATTTAAAATAGGTGTTCAGTTTATTAAATAATTTGTGTCTCTAAATAGGATATTTAGATATTGTTTATGATCAATGCCTTTCATTTTTAGAAACGTTGCTTTCATTTTTAGAAACGTTGCTTTGTAAAACCCCGTAGTTTCCCGATCTTGGTAAAGTGGACGAGTCTTCCAAGGTCTTGTTCGATGTTTTTTTTTCATTATACTGCCCTACTATGGAAAAAGGCAGTAACTACAAAAAATTATAAATGCGTTTTCCTGTGCTATAGCTATGGACATTTTGTATCTTAATTCAACAAAGAAATGCAGTTAACTATCTTATAAGTTAAATAAATCAGTTAAGTACCCAAAAAATATAATAAAGAATGTATTTATTAGTGTTGTAACCAGAGTTGGGAATGGGGTTTTACAATTTCCGGTAAAATTGAGCCGGCGCACGTAAGGCAAAACACAACACAATAATATACGTTTATTTACTTAGCAAAATGTTCCCAAATATTTAAAACCCTAGAAACATAAAAAGAAATGGATCACGACAGGGTTGAAAAAATGTCATATAGTTCGCGTGTTGTCAGAGAGTCGTGCGCGCAACCAGTATTATGCCAAATTTAGTTAATTGTGTTAATTTCCAGTCACCGCGAAGTAAATCTAAAACTTATAATATGGTGATGTTACCATGTTCTAAGTACTTTAAATCAACGTATATATTAACGATGTAAATCTAATTTCTGAACTATTATATTATCTTAACAGTGTAAAATTTGCATTGTTTAGTTTGATAAAAGGTTATACAAAAAGTTTCGCTTTGAGTGCCAGCTTAATCAATGACATTGAATATTGGTTTTATGTGGAAACTATTTTTTTTCCACATACTTGCACATAAAAGTGTTTTCGTCTTTATTTTCAAGTTGTGAATATTTAGTTCTAACGTTCTAACGTTTTTACAAGTATTCGCCAATAAAGTGTTATAAACGATTATATTAATACATTTTGAGCAGTTTACACAGTTACAGTTTGTATTTAATATTTAAACCAATAGATTATTCGTAAAAATACCTTTATTGATTCAAGAGTCCAATCATACAATGTATATCATTATTTAATTAACGTATTAAAAATATAATATTTTTTTGAATAAGGTACATTTACAGAAATACATACTCATGGCATTAAATGGCGTCCGTACACTGTTGACAAATTTATGAGAATGGTTAAATAGAATGTTCGGAGGTATATCAACGGATATATGTATATCGACTGATGTACTTAATTTGGTACCATCTGTATAAAACAGTGGCGCCCTTATCGTACAAACGGTAAATCGGATTGTGTAACTGTATGTGTATCCAAGTTAAATTGACCTTCTAGCTAAAATTTAACAAACGTCCTAAAATGACCTTGACTACCCATGGTAAAAAGATACACGTGCTCTCCAATTTTTCTCCGATTTTTCGAATGTGGCTCCGATTTTGAAGGCGTGTTCTTTACAAAAGTATCTATTTTGCACATATATATTTTTTTAAGCTCGTAATTTCGATATTAGAATTAGACAAAATATTGTGAACTTTACTTTATATAACAGAATTACTTACTTTCTTACTTTGGACCTCAAATCGACTTAAATAAATAAAAACAATAAAAAGTAGCTAAGGAAAACACTGTTTGGACATTTGCCTATCATAAATATTTTTGACGCCGCGCCTTAAATACCTCATTTTGCCTTACGTGCGCCGGAAAAAAAGGTTTTTTGCATTTTTTTCATTTTATTCAAAGCATAATTATTAATACAAAAAAATGCAAAAGTCAATTTTTCTGCAAATATAGAAATTCTGACGGATAATATAATTGTAATCATATAATATTATGATTATAATAATTAATAATTATTTTAATCCAGCAAGAATATTGTACCGGGCCGCAAAAAACATATTCGGTGCTGTACGAACATACCTGTCGTTTTATTTGACACATCGATTTTTAAAATAATAAATTTTGTAATTTTACTTTATAAATCATTCATTATTTTGTAAACGGATATATTTAATGGACTCCCTTTTGCAAAAAGGACCCAACCGACAGTATATTTCTTACATTTTTTTTTCAATTTAATTAAATTCAATGTTTAGTTTTATTATTTTTTTTTTCTGTAATAAAGGATATTTTTTTTAAATTAAAAAAATGTTGTTGAAGTTGTTGATTGCTACTTTTTTTAAAATGATTATTTCCCTCATTATAATATGAACCAATCAAAAGCCTTAAATTTTCGAATAAATTTAAAACTATTTAACAGCGATTATTTCCCTCATTATAATATGAACCAATCAAAAGCCTTGAATTTTCGAATAAATTTCGTTTAAATAAGCGATTAAATCACTAGAACTATTTAACAGCGATTAAATGGATTTTTGTTTACGATTTTATCGTGTTATTTACAATTTTTTAAAAAACAATAAAAAATAAGTTATCTAGTTTACGAAATATCAATTATTACTTATTACATACCTTAAATTGATGGAATTTTCTTTACAAAAATATTTATAAATTTTGACACATACGTCAGATTTTATGAATTTTCAAATAGTTTCCTTTAATTCGAGAAATAATCTAGACGTATATCACTCAACCTATAAATTTAATCTGTCAAACTATGCTCAGTAAGGAAAATAGTTTCATGCAAAATAATTAAAAATAAAACCCCTCGACCGCTACGCGGTCTCGTGATTTTATTAGATTATTTTGCATTCAACATTTTCCAACAAAAACCAAACAAAAAACTACTGAGCCTAGTTTAACCGATTAAATTCATAGTTCTCGTGATAAAATATATGATTAAATTTTAGCCTCCATATTGGATTTTTGTTTACGATTTTATGGTGTTATTTACAAGTTTTAACAAACATTTTTTAAAAAACAATAAAAAATAAGTTATCTAGAATATCAATTATTACTTATTACATACCTTAAATTAATGGAATTTTCTTTAAAAAAATATTTATAAATTTTGACACATACGTCAGATTTTATGAATTGTCAAATAGTTTCCTTTAATTCGAGAAATAATCTAGACGTATATCACTCAACCTATAAATTTAATCTGTCAAACTATGCTCAGTAAGTTTTTTATTTGATTTTTCTTTTTGGAAAATAGTTTTATGCAAAATAATTAAATTAAAAATAAAACCCCTCGACCGCTACGAGGTCTCGTGATTTTATTAAATTATTTTGCATTCAACATTTTCCAACAAAAATCAAACAAAAAAACTACTGAGCCTAGTTTAACCGATTAAATTCATAGTTCTCGTGATATAATATATGATTAAATGTAAATATAAAAAAAAACAGGTTTTTCCCCAATTTTTCTTAAACCCTAGTTGGGACGGTTAAAAAAGAAATTAACTTTGAACAACGCAATGCAGAGTAATTTTTTTTAAGGAAACACTCCTGAAAATTTTGATTGTCAATAAAAAATAAACAAGTGCAGCGCCGGATTTAGGGGGGGTCTTTGGGGGTCTATAGACCCGGGGCGCAAGCTTACAGGGGGCGCAAAATTTTTGACTGGTAATTTTTGTTTTTTACTACAACCTAAAGGGTTTTCCCCTTTTTTTATTTTTCGTGTATTAATCAGTTTTAATAAAAAAATTATTTAAATTATAACCGTGATTGTTGCCATACTGCCGTGCTTAATGAAAACGCCGTAACCAACAATTTTGCGATTTTTGTTTTACGGCATTTTCAACTAGAACAATTCATCCTGCGTCTATCCCCGGTAATAAAAAAACCGTATATATATAGATACGGTTTTTTGAGTACTGGGGATAGACGCAGGATAAATTGTTCTAGTAGAAAATGCCGTAAAACAAAAATCGCAAAATTGTTGGTTACGGCGTTTTCATTAAGCACGGCAGCATAGTATTATTATCTATGCATAGTATACGAAATATGTCATGTCACGTATTACGTAGGCGCCCGACAAGTTGTTGGACGACAAGAACTTTAGTTTGCAGAAATTGATTATTTCTACCGATGCGATTCGTATGGGCGTAAAGGTTTTTTAATATAAGAATATTTTATTACACTACGAACAACTATTAATTTAAATTAGTTTAAAACTATAGTTATATACAGTACCAGTCATATATATATGTATGTATACGAGCCCTAACCACATAATGTTCGGACACTTCATAATTTATACAGAAATTTTTTTCGTGAATACTATCTCAAAATTATTAGAAGTTATGAAAAATTCAGCTTATTTTGGCATATACCCCTCGAAGCGATTTTTATTTTTAAAAAGTTTACCTTTTATTTTTAGCTTTTAAAAAAGGCTAACTTTTAAACTTTTTTTTGCATGAGTAAAAAAAGTTATAAATGGGCCCATTAAAAAGAACATAAAATATTATACAAACCCTGAAAATTTGGTAAAAATTGTATAAATAATAAGAAAGTTATAGCGATATATATATCTGCAAAATCTCCCGTTTCCTAAGAAAATTGCAAAAACTCTTTAAAAATAGCATTTTTAAATTACTTATACTTTTTTATAACTTATTTATTTTTTACCAAATTTTCAGGGTTTGTATAATATTTTATGCTCTTTTTAATGGGTCCATTTATAACTTTTTTTACTCATACAAAAAAAAGTTAAAAAGTTAGCCTTTTTTTAAAAGCTAAAAATAAAAGGTAAACTTTTTAAAAATAAAAATCGCTTCGAGGGGTATATGCCAAAATAAGCTGAATTTTTCATAACTTCTAATAATTTTGAGATAGTATTCACGAAAAAAATTTCTGAATAAATTATGAAGTGTCCGAACATTATGTGGTTAGGGCTCGTATATATACAGTATAGGTATTAGCCTATTGAAAGATGACGTCAATATTGCGATAAACAAATTTGCTTCTCTAAAAGCACGCAAAGTTGAATTTGCAAAATGTTAATTTTCTTGTTTAGGTATTTGTTTTTTATATAGTTTTTGTTTATGTTTTTAGGGTGGCAATATTTTTTCGACATTTTTTTTTTATTTCGGAGCTCACATGAAACAATTTAAGTTTAAAGTATTCAAGTTTCAACTCAAAAAAAAATAAACGTCGCTCAAAAAAATCAACTAAATTGGAAAAATAGTAGTGGTTACAAGATCAAAATTATTAAAAAAATCAAGAAATGTATTTCAAAAATATTGAGCGACCAATAATATTTTGACTTAAAAATGTATTATGTTCCTATACGACCTACAAAAAAAATAGTGAGAAGCCAAAGATTTTGAGAAAAAAGGTTGGTTTAAAAAAGTTTTGAGCGACGTCTAAAATTTTTTTATCTGTTGAAACTCAAATACTTTAGACTTATTTTTTTTATTTGATCTCCAAAATCAAAAAAAATTCGAAAAAATACTACAACCCTAATGTTTATGGTTAAATAAAATCTTTTTGTTAAGAAGTGACATTTCTTTGAATTTATTATATAGGTAGGGGCGGAAAATTTTTATTAGACGCTGGGCGCAAATTTTTATAATCCGGCGCTGAACAAGTGAATATAAAATGTATGTGAAGTTATATCTTCTATAAGGACTTTGTTTTGGTAAATTCAGTATGCCTTACCCCATTACTATATTCAATATAGTATTTACATAAGGGTCCTTAAAAAAAAATTTTTTCGCTCTTACCCTCTCAAATGTTTCTATTTAATATAAAAAAATCCTCACCAAATATGTGCGTTCCAGCTGAACTCTAAGAGGTCGCTGTTTTTATTTTAGTTTCCCATTTAATTAACATGGGAAAAATAATTTTATGTTTGGAATTTTATACCTCTGTATCAAAGTATATAAAATGTAACGCTCTACAAAAAAGGTCTCTTATTATTTTTCGATGGGGTACCCAAAAAATTTCGTAATTTTTTTTTTAAATTTGGAAAACTTTTCCATCGAACTTTTTTCGGATTGTATGCAAACTAGGGTGCTTCAAAAAAAATTTTTATTTTTTTTTATCAATCACCAACATTTGGGAGGGTAACGCACCCTAGTTTGTATACAATCAGAAAAAAAGTTCCATGGAAAAGTTTTCCAAACTTGTACCTTCCTTTTTCTCGCTCTACAGGCTCAAAATAAATATTTTCGATTAAAAGCGTTAACTTGTGAGTCAATATATTTTCAAATAATTTAGAAACCGAAAAAAACAATCTAAAAAATTTTTTTTTTACGAAATTTTTTGGGTACCCCATTTTGCACCCCCGCTGCCTTGTTTTGGCCCCTTTCACCTCCCGTCTGCTTATTGTACCATAAAATTAAAAAAAAAAACAGAAAATTTGATGTTAATCAAACTTTGAACTCGAATAACTCTAGAAGAAATCAATTTATCGAAAAATAATAAGAGACCTTTTTTGGAGAGCGTTACATTTTATATAAGAAACTTCAATGATCATTGCCATAAGTTACTTTGATACAGAGGTATAAAATTCCAAACATAAAATTATTTTTTCCCATGTTAATTAAATGGGAAACTAAAATAAAAACAGCACCTCTTAGAGTTGAGCTGGGACGCCCATATTTGGTGAGGATTTTTTTATATTAAATAGAAACATTTGAGAGCATAAGAGCGAAAACAAAAATTAAATTTTTTTTCAAGCACCCTAATATATGTACAGGGTGATCCCCTATAATGTCGCCCCCCTTTAACTTTTTTATTTTAAGTGTCCCAAAAAATTTAAAAGTGTGGTTATGTAGGTACTAAAAAATACTTTTTTTCTGCATTAAAAAAATGGAAAATTGATCAATATACGGGGAAAAACAAAAAGTTCATTTTTTTTTCAATGGATCACCCTATATATGAATTTATTTTTCGATTCCTTGTAAAATTCTGAGCATAATTCATATAACAAACCATATACCTAAACTCAACTGTTTCTGAAATATTCGCATTCGAAATGTTATCAATAAATGATTTTTTAAACTGTTAAAAATCAAGAAGCTTCAGTATACCAAAATTTTTATTGAAGATAAGTTACTATAGTGACATTATGTCAATATGTCTTGTTAAATAATTAAAAATGGCGTACTCAGACAGAGAAAGACAAACTATTTCAAATTATTATCTTAAAAATAATTTAAATATTTCAGAAACGGTTGAATTTAGGTACCTATATTGTATGTTATATGAAATATGTTTAGAATTTTACAAGGAATCGAAAAATAAATACATATATAGGGTGATCCATTGAAAAAAAATAAACTTTTTGTTTTTCCCTGTATACTGAGCAATTCTCGAATTTTCTTTATACGTAGAAAAAAAGTATTTTTTAGTACCTACATAACCACACTTTTAAATTTTTTGGGACACTGAAAATAAAAAAGTTAAAGGGGGGCGACATTATAGGGGATCACCCTGTACATACTATGTACTACATAGTATGCAGTATACTATGTAGTGTTTATTGAATGTTTTGTGTTGTAAGGAGTGCCATTATTAAAATTTATATTTATACATCCGCATCGGCTTCCGCAAAATTAAATTATACAATTAAAAAAAAATTAAATTTTGCCCCACTTAAATAATATTTAATATTGTTGTGCCAAAAAGAGTTTATAGGTGCTTCTTTAGTTATTTTATTAATAGAGCCTAAGTATAATATTAAAGATAAAATATTCTTACTTTAATCCTTGTTGCAGTTTATGTATAAACTGAACCTGGACGTCTTGGTGAGACTCGTCCTTGTTGAGCAGATCCGGTTCCTCTCCATCGCTGAAAATCTCCCAAACCGTAACACCAAACGACCAAACGTCCGAACTGGTGGAAAATTTCTGTTTAGTGAGACACTCCAAAGCGTACCATTTGTATGGTATCCCCCGTACGGATTTTAAAAGGTAGTAGCCGCTGTCGTCCAGAACCTGCGCAAGCCCAAAGTCCGAGATTTTCGCGCGATCCCTTTCGTCAATCAAGATGTTTCGGGCAGCGAGGTCGCGATGCACTATTTTTTTCCTTCCCAAGTATTCCATACCCTTAAAAAATTTTAAAGTACTGTTTTTTTGCTGTGGTAAATAAATACCTTTATAATATCCAAGGCAAAATTTAGTCTCTTCCTATCATCAATCTTTTCTTTGTGAATTCTCATATAGTTTTGCAGTGAGCCGTGCTCAACAAATTCCATTATAAATATTAAATTTTTTGTGTCAACTTGTACTACAGTCAAAATTTCCACAATATTGGGGTGCTTCAATTTCTAAATAATTACAAAAAAATAATTACTTTAAGTGTTATTTATTTTTATTAATATTTTGTTTTACCTGCATGATTTGTATTTCCCTTTCAAAATCTAACAAAGTGTCCTCATCCTCCCTTTTGAGTTTTTTTAGTGCAACTATTCGAGATTCTTTTGCATCATTGTGGTAAGACACTTTGCCCCTGTAAACTTCTCCGTAGTTGCCCTAAAATAATGTTTTAAAAATATATACATTTTAGTGAGATTAATGTATTATTACTTGTCCGATTTTGTTTAGAGGTACAACATAACATTCTTCATCTATCCTTATACCTTCTTGTGCTTCAAATTTATTCATATTATCAAAATAATTAAAAGCTCCAGGTTTTGGGTCCACAAAATTGTTGATATCCTAAAAAAGAAATAAATATATTTTGGTTATCACCCTGTACCTTAAAAAAATGCATAGAAGCTTATTTCCAAACAGGATAGATTAATAGAAAAAAATGTCTACAATCAAAATCACGCTCAGGGACGCAAACCTTAAGAGTTTTGTTTGTGGTCACCCATTCCATTACTAAGCGTTTTCACATACAAACATATTTCCTATTGCATAACAGACTTACCTTATCTTCGCCGTAAGACAAACCATAACAGTTATCTTCGTTACTCAAAAGCGAACCTCCGTAGACATTAGTGGATTCCGTCACTCCGGAAATCAAGGATTGCGTTGAATTGCTAGCGGAAATACGCAGCAACGGAAGTGAAGTCGGCTGGGCGTACTCAGGAGCGTTGTTGCAAACTTGAAAAGAAACGTAATAAATAGTGTCCGACCGAAACACGATTTTCAGCCAAAACAAATTTTAGACCGATCCAACCTCACTTTCTCCCAATTGAATTTTTTTCTATGGTATTTTTTGAAAACGTAGAAAAAGTATAGTCTAAAACACGTTTGGAATTGCATATTCCGCTCTCGTGAAACCGTCAAACTCGCCTTGGGCTCGTGTAACAAACTTTTCACTCGAGCGGAATATGCTTGTTACAGAATATACCATAGAGAAACAAATATACCAATTTTCAATGGCGAACGCGTCTTAAAAAAATTTACAACTTGCCAGTATCAGTCAAGTGTCAAAACCGAGTGTTTTTCTCTTAGGTTGTCTCTTACCTAAGAAGTACTGTTGAGTGACTTCACCCATAATTGCTTGCGGTTTTTTTCTGCGGTGATGGTCCACTTCCCAGCACTCTTTAATTAGGGTATACACTTCATCCGGACACATAATCGGTTTGGGAAGAAATTCCTTTTTAAGGTATCTCTAAAAATAATAATAAATTTTATTAAGAGAACGAAAAAATAATTAGATTTAGTTTTACGTTTGAATTTTAACATTTAAAATTAAGTTAACATTATTTTATTACTGGTTTAACCAGTTTTTAATTTGTTCCTACAAATTGGCGCCCCAAACGGTAAAGGGTATTCACAAAAATGCGATTTATTTAATTTTAAGGCCGCCAATTAGAGCGCAGTGTTTCTGCAGCGCTTGCAACAACAGGCGCTGGGTTTATTTTTGTTTATCAGCGTCTATTGTAAACCCAACAAATATGACAAAAACCATCCTTTAGAGCGCTCTCATTGGCGGCTGCAATTTTGTAGACAGATGACAACACAGAAAATATACCCAACAAAATATCAAGCAACACTTTTACAGGTGTCAAAGGGGACTAACAAAATATTACAGGTAACAAGATGACAGATGACAGGCAAACCATATACAGGGAGGCCCTTAGACAATTTAAGAGAATGGACGTGTAACGCAGTGATTAGGGAATTATTCCCTATTTATGGGGATATTTTTAAAGAATATAGAAACAGGGAATTATCATTAATTTATGGGGAATTTTTGGTATACCTAGACAAAAAATTTAATGGGTGTAAAATTGTAATAAAAAATCATAAATCTTAAGAAATAACTGCTGTATTACAGATACAGCAAGATTTGCCAGATTTTGCTGTCAAAATTTTAATGTTACTAGTATACTGTTGACCACGCTAACCTTGTAAAATCTAATAATTTATATTCTTAGGGGTATTTCCATTGTAACGGGTGCAACACTGACACTGCGTTTCTTTATGATAATAAAGTGTTTGTTTAGATATCTCAAGATACGTTAATATAGAAAATTAGATATTCAAACAAAATGTCAATAAAAACTTATATAAAAAACCTTTTATAGCGTCATGAATCGCGTAACGGGCCCGACATTAGAAAATCGGCAAATGCGACCAAGTTGCCTTCTAAAGTTGATACTGTAAAATTTTTGATAAAAGCTTAGAGTAATAATTTAATTAAATTTTTTGTGTAAAACTTGAATAGTTAACCTAAACACGTATTTTAAATGCACAAATGAGTCGTCCAATTTTAAAAGCGGCCATCTCCTCTAAATAATATTTTAAGTAAATGGCAGAAAACCATTCCTAGTAGTAATGGGGAAAAATTAAATATATTGTGAAAAACTTGTTAATATGGTAGGTAACTAAACATATTTTTTTCTACTAAATAAATAATCAGATTTATGTTATAATTTAAAAATTTCAAAAGGAGATGGGCATTTTAAGTACACTTGTGTACTTAAAACATCAATGTATCGAAACTAACATAAAACTTTAATAAATTATTTTTCTTGGAAATAGCCGTTTTTGTTTAGATATAGTTTTGAAATAATATAGGTACTACTATTTTTAAAAATTTTTGTATATGGCCTCTTTTGAAACTAGACGACTCAAATATTGTATACTTTATTTTCTAAAATTTTCTCAAAATGTAAGGGGTGCGACATTTGAACTTTTTATCGATTATGAAACTCTTCCGTGTTTATTCTAAAAGTTAGCTTAGATTACAATAGGTATACAAATATTTTAAGGTTATCCCAGATAGCAATCGTGCGTCGCACGTAGGTCGCACGGCGTGAGAACGCACACGTGCGGTCGATTTCACACGCATATGAGTAGCATGGCCGTGCGCGACAACGCGATGAGCGCAGTATGAGCGCACGACGTGATCAATGATCTCCTACACTGTGCTTATCGGCAGTGATGCCAGATTCTATAAAAAAACAGTAGATTTCGTTTTTATTCACCTTATAATTACAAAAATGATACAATAAATAATAATGAAATAAGTTAAAGCTGCAATTAGCATTCAATTAAATTAAACGACATGAATCAACTGAATTTTTTTCTTGCTGCAAAAAGGTCTAATTCGTTTGAAGGACCTCAAATAAAGGGTCCTTTAAACATGAAATCAAAGAGGTTATTAGGGCTAAGAGACAACGGCAAAAAAATGCGGAAAAACAAACAAAAAATAAATTGAACTCTGGCAAAATTTTGCCACAGTTAAGAACAAATGAACCCGAATTTCATGATAGTGACCGAAATAGTGTATCATCTGATTATGAAAGTTATTTTGATTAGAATATATTCTAATCAAAATCACTTATATATATGTATTATTAAAATTAGAGTTTTTATTTACTTTTCAGACTTTGGGATTTTTTTTATTTTACATTGGTTTTTAAAATCACTTATCAATATTTGCATTTTTATATACTTTTAAATTTTTATTTTCTTTAGGATTTTTTATTTTAATTTTGTAATTTTTAAAAATAATTTTACTTTAAGATTTTGTGATTTTTGACAGTAGGATTTTTTATTTTACTTTTGTAGTTTTTAAGAACATTAATCAACCAGTGCATTTTTATTTATTTAAAAACTTTTTTAAAGTATTTTTAAAAACAGCTTTTATTTTGTTTAATATTTTTAATTACTTTAGGATTCTATTATTTTAATTGGATTTTTTAAAAGTATTTTAAAATCACTTAATTAATTAATCAACATTATTTACTTCAATATTTTTATTTGCTTTATGATTTTGTGATTTTACTTTTGTGATTGTTTAGTATATTTAAAATCAATTGATGAATTGATCATGGGCTTTTTTATTTATATTAAGATTTTTTTATTTTACGTTTGTGATATTTATTTACTTTTTTAAAGTGATTTTGATTAAAATTTGCATTTTTATTTATTTTTTCCCTTTACTTGAATATATATATATATATGTATTGGTGGTTTTCCGGGATCTGTTACGTGTTGTCAGTTTTTGGTTCTTAGAAGAACCGTATGTCTGACGACGTTTTGGTACAATCTCATGTACCATGGTACATGAGATTGTACCGAAACGTCGTCAGACATACGGTTATTTTAAGAACCAAAAACCGACAACACAGAGCAGATCCCGGAAAACCACCAATACATATAACCCCCGTGGAAACCTAAAACAGAATATATATATATCGACGGGTTTAAGGCAAAACGGCACAAACGCCAAAATTAAAAAAAAATTGTTACAGCTCTAGCTAGAGAATTTAATTCTCTATCAACCTGTACTTCTAACAATTTTCCGAAAAATTTGGCGCTTGTGCCATTTTGCATTAAACCCGTCGTTATATATGCATTTCCTTTTGAAATATACAACTTTTTTGACTCATTCATGTGCGCTGGAAATGCGTCGGCACACGTGCGCTTTAAATGCGCTGCATATGAGACACATATGTAAGCGCATCTGTGTAGTGATCTGCGCGCACGCGTGCACTCACTGTGCGCGCATCGTGACTACATTTTGCTATCTGGGTATAAATTACGTCGCAATTAAACTATTTGAGGAAGTCCATTCCAAAACTCGGCTTATCCACTATTTAATAAAAATGAGTTAGTGGTGTCTGTACATTTAACCCCCTATACCTTATTCCATTTAAAATTCATTTAAAAATTGACTATCATTCCAAAACTTGCCTTATCTATAGGTTATATCATGTCAGAAGTTCTGCAGTTACGTAAAAATTAGGTTCCTACAGAATGTTTTAAAATTTTGTTTTATATGAAAAATTTAAACTTTTATATTTTGTTTCTTTTATTTAAATTTTAATTAGTTGCCTATGTTTTTGGTATACTTCTATTTTATTTATTATTAGTAGTTTAGGCGTAGTAAAGTGTGCCGAAAGTGAACCATAAGATTTTATTTGTTTTGTGTGTTTTGAAGTGAAAAAGAATTAAAGGGTGGCGCCATTCGATAAAAAAGCACCCTACCTTACCCTTATACCTGTTGTTTTGACCCTTATAGTTTTTTCGTTTCCCCTTCGACTTTTACCCACAGATTTGTAAGCTAAGGAGATAAGTCAAAAAAAGCAATTTTTTAGTAGAGCCTTCAAACATATTTGGATTAGTTAAGGAAAGATAAATTTCTTATGTGAGAATCAGTGGATTTACCTACAGATTTGTAGGCTAAGGAGATAAGTCAAAAAAGGCAATTTTTTAGTAGAGCCTTTAAACATATTTAGATTAGTTTAGGAAAGATAAATTTTTTATCTGAGAATCAGTGGATAATATATCCACAAACTATATGATTCTCACAAAAGAAATGTATCTTTCCTGAATTAATGTAAATACTGAATTGCTTTTTTTGACACATGCCCTCATGCCTTTTACGCTCATTAATTGTGCTTGAATTCTTTAATTTGACGCCATTTTTTGGTCTATATTTGGCACATTCTCAACCTTCTGATTACGCCTCTCCTCTCTTCCTTACTCAAAATATCAAGTCACTAGGATCTGAATAATTTTTAAGTGATCTACTGATACAAATCACAAACTGTTGGTAAATTGTCTGTGACTCTTTGCAGGAACAAATCTATTGTATTTTTAATAAATGTATATCTACCTATGTATGTATAGGTGTACTGAAAAACTTTTTAGACAAAACAGGAACATATATTTTATAAAACAAAAAATCTTCTTAATTTATTTGGAGTGGTTTCAAATAAATTATAAAAAAAACAAAAAAATACAATTTATTACCTTTTTGGCTTCCTCGTGGTCACGAAAAGTCAAATCTGCGCCAAAAGAATACATTTCCCATAAAGTTGTACCACATGCCCAAACATCGGCCTCATGAGATTCTCTGGCAAGTTCAAAATTACCGTAACATTCCACAGGGATCCAATGTATACTAAAAAAAAACAATACAATTAATATAAACATTTAAAGTTTCACGATTTTGCATTACTCTGTTGCAGGATAGGAACTGTGAATCCCAGGATCAGTCAACTTTATAGTGAGGATTTTGTCATTGTGATTGGCTACCAATAGTTTGCGACACCTTATTTTTCCATGGACAATTTGTTTTTCATCCTAAAAAATATTATTAATAGTTTTTTATTAACATGTAAAGCAATCTGAGTAAATAGAGGTTTTCCAGTACAAGCAAAAGAAGCAAGCGCTCGCACTTAGTCAATTAAACTAAAATTAATATAGACCTTCAGTTTTCGTAATTTAAAAGATCATCTTAAAAATATTCAAAACCAAATAATTTATTACCAAGTGCCAAAGAGCTGAAGCCAAATCAGTAGCAGCTTGAATAAGGTTGTCTTTGGTAACAAGTTTTTCATTATTCCTTAAATAAATATCCAAAGGCCCATAGGGAAAATATTCAAGTATAAAAGAAATATCGTTGATCATTGTTATACCATATAAGCGCACAATTTTGTCGGATTGTAGAAAAGCCCATTGGCCAGAGATTTTAAGGAAATCTTCCAGCCTGTCGTATGAATTCTTTTTCAGGATTTTCATAGCAACCGTTTTTTTCTTTTGCGTGGGACCAAATTTCCACAGAGCCTTGTGGACCATGGTTTTTTTTCTTGCACCTTCCAATGTTACACCTAAAAAAATTATTTGTAAATACAAAATTTTCCCGTAGAATGTGTCAGAAATATTTACCCTATTACAGCAGAATATTATTTGCATACAAAGTAAATAAATAAATCAAAAATAAAATAACCAAACAAATTTATTATGAATCGTTAACTTTACTATAACCTCTTGGGGTCAAACGACAAAACCTATAATAAATTGCAACAATGGCGGCAAAAATACCTATAGTAAAAAGAATTATAAAAATAAGGGCTATTAGAACATTAGTTTCGGTTTTAAGCCAGGCAAAAAAGGGGGCTGTCATTTCATCTTCCATGAGGTTGGTTAACAAATTGGGGGCTTTTTGTACATTTATTTTAACGTAATTTGTTACCCATTCTATTTCCAAATCTGGCTGATTGACCACACATTTCCACGTACCATGGTGAGATTTGTTCAGACTATCTATATTGTAGGAGTTTATGATAGCCAAAAGCATACCGATTTCGTACTCTTTGTATAATGTATTGTTAATTGTAAGTTTTAGGATTAAATCGGAATAAACATAGCCCAAAAGGTTAGCCTTACAGTTTAAGACATATTTTCTTGTTTCACGAGTTACAACATTGTAGTTCTTGCTTATCACTGCGACAGTAAAGACTCTTACAACAACGCGTTGTTTATTTACTCTCTTTAAAATACAAATATAAACACCCGAGTCGTTATGCCGTATATGTTTTATCTGTAAATTATCCAATCGGTTATAAAAATGATGTGGTTCTTCCTCAATATACACACCGTTCTTCGTCCACTCGAAATACGCCTGCGGCGATTCCCTATTTACAACCTTAACAATCTCCCTATTATTCTCCAAAATCACCGCTGTATCCTCATGAACAACATAACTGAAATGCTCTCCCCTTAACTTCCCTTTAATTCTCTCCAACGTGGTTGGACTCACATCCCCACACGGAAACTCATTGCATCTCCCCGTCGTGCTCGCCTCTCCCACGCACATCTCTCCTTTTATATTTGGCCTCGGATTCGTGCACGTTCGGTATTGATAACCGTCCCCTCCACCGCACGTGACCGAGCACACCCAATCGGACCACTCGCTCCACCCGCCGTTGCGCGGCTCGCCATCTATGTCGAGCGGCGGGCAGTTCGCGCTCCAGCTCACACTGCCATCTTTCGAGGCTACCGAGAACCAGTAGAACACCAGCGGGGCTTCACTGGTGTAAGTGAACATGCGTGTTTCATTGGTATAGAGTTCCATTTGATATTCCGTAAAGGTAAGGAAGTAAGTCGACCATTTTAGGTCGGTGTAGAGGTTACGAGCGTATCTTGTTACGGTCTCTATGGGGATGCCGTTGTAGACTGGGTTTAGTTTTATCTCGCTTTTTGTCGGGTTGAACTCTATGACGAGTTTGTACCCAGAGTAAGGTAGGTTTGTTAGTAATATTCTAGCTAATCCTGCACCTCTAAGATTAAACGTTATATTCCTATACATATCGTTCTCTTTGTCAGACCATATGCCAAACGAGTAGGTCTTACTAAAATCATCCACTTCGGCTAATTCGGTGTGGCATTCGTGGCAATCAAAAAATATACCGATAGGAAAACCATGTATCGATGAAAACGATAAGTAACCAGGTTGAAATTTATTTGTATAATCAATGTACTCCAAAAAAGGATCCGGTATACCCTGATACCCCAAAAGAACCTCCCCTGCGCGTACTTGTAACCACAGCTCGGCCCAACTCCCACTCTTAATCACATGAGGTATACTATGTGTTTGCATAATCTACAAAAATATTTTATGAAATAAACTTTGACTTATAACTTATTGTTAGTAACCTTTCCATTGCGTGTTAATGTTACTTTTTCGTTGCCTTCAGCTCCTATATCAAGCCTTATCTCTTCGTTGCCCTGCCAGGGGCTTACAAAGATACTAAGACCATCGTATTCATCGGCACTCCATTCTTTTAGGGAAAACTGTATGCCACCATGAACACCTTCTTCTTTCCATTGTGGAAGAACGTAAACTTTATGACCTGTACATACGTATATTATTTTAGTAAACTACATATCTGTACCCCAGAGCCAAACTGTATTATGTGCACTTTTTAAAATCACATTACACATTTTTTGTCTACATCTTTCCGCTCTTTAACAATTATAAACACTTATTTTTTGATGTTTCAAAGACTAAGTAAGCCAGGACTTAATCCTGCGGCAAAAAATATGAAACGTGATTTAAATAGTGGCTTTGTGGCACGGATTAGTAATTTTAGAATTTGGTAACCTTTATTAGTAGCTTTCGTAATGACAATGCATTCTTCAGGTTTTTCACAGTCTCGTACATTACAAGCATCCATTATTATTTCAGGGTCTGTAGTGTAACACCAAGCTCCTATAAAGTTCATGTTGTTTTTTCTATATTACAGCTTTTCTTGTTATGTTAATTTACCAGCAATATTTCTAGAAGGATTTCTGCAATGATTTTTAGCATTACCGAGCTTAACATCAGGAAACAAGGTATCATTATAGATGACTCTGTCGACGTTTTCCCATACTGACTGATACCAAACATCGCAAGTTCTATTCGATCTAGTTTGGGTAATGACGCCCATAAAATCGTTCCCTGTACCAGCCAATTTACAATGCTCAGATTTACATTTTCTAATTCGACAAAACACTTTCTGCACTTGAATTTTTGATTTCAATGATTTTGCGTAGCAAAAAGTTCCTTGTCCCATCTTTAGGGGATCTCTGGAATTTGTATATTTATATTATATTTATATAAATATAACACGGGAAAGTGGCATGAAAATTCTTAAAAAATTTCGAAAGATTTAGGTTTTTTAACAGTTTTTAAAAAGTTTCAGTTATATGATGTTTTCAGAGCATTTTAAAGCATAAAATGGTAATATGAATTATCAATAGTTTTTAAAACAGGTATTTGGGTATTTTAAAAACCAGTTTTAGCATACATTAATACATTTTTTTTTGCCGATTGGTTAATAATGCGCCGATTGTATTCGCAATTGTTAATAATTAATGACATTCATTTCTCCCGCTGTGAACAATCTTATTCCTTCCCCTGTATATATTTTCATTTCCTCCCGCTAATCAGGTAAGAAATGTTCCATTCCATCCCGCTACCATGACAACGCTACAGTGTGATTGACTTTGAATGTAAACGTTCTTTTAATTTATATTTTACAAAATGGTAATAACAAAGTCATAAAGGCCACTCTAGAATAAAATTAAAAAATATAACTTAAATTGTCAAAAATATTAGATTTTGCATTAAAACTCAATCGCACATTATTTAATTGATAAAAATAGGCACGATACATCTTAAAAATTAAATGCCCTCTAAATATTTTACGGTTTTAAGAAAAATTATTGCTTGGGTAAAAATTCAACAAAACTTAAAACCTACAAAATGTTATAAAATCTTTTAAAAATCATTTAGTTTTAATCATTTTTTAATAACTAATACCTTATTATATTATTAAAAAATATTTATGAAAAAATATTATATAAATGTTTAGATAAGTAATGGATGCCATCTTAAAAAATTCATTAAGGCGACCTGAAAAAAAAATTCACTTTAAGCTTATTTTTCCTTGTTTAGTTAATATTAAAAGTATTTATTAACATTAATAACCCTAAAAATACCAGGCGAATAGGAATTATTTACGGTTATAAAGTGGTCTTAATATCGTAAAATTATGAATTATGTAACATTTACCATTAGAGATGCAAAAAGAGGCCAATGAGTAGTGAAGGTGTAGAGTGTTCTTTGGTGTAGAGGTTTTAAAAGGTATTGATAAAAACTTAGAGATTTTAAAATTAAACAAAAAAGTTTTAGCTTCTATTTGAAGAAAAAAATTAAGAAGAGTTTTTAGATGCATATTTTTTGTATTTTATTAGTTCTTATACTTTTGTTTGACTAATGTTTTGTCTTTATTTTTGTGTAATATTACACAGGTATTTTTCACTTTTAGCTTATTTTTGTTAGTCCTAGTGTTTATAATTAGCATTTATTAACATTAATAACCCTGAAAAATATCAGGCGAATAGGAATTATTTACGGTTATAAAGTGGTATTAATATCGTAAAATTATGACTTATGAGTAACATTTACCATTAAGTAAAAATTCTGACGTTAAAATTACCGTTAAATTTTCCTTTAGGTGAAATACACTTATAAGTAATTTTCTTTCGTAAAAATTACGTCCCTCATAATACTTTAAAGTGTTGAAACTTAAGGGTTTAAAAAAAAGGTAAAAATAATATAAATAAAACTTATTAAATAACTTTAAAAAAAGTTTTACTTCAAACTAAATTTTTATGGTTAATTTAACAAAATATTTATTTAAAATTAGTAATATTGCCTTAAAGCTCTACCCAGTTCACTTAAAATGCAGCTTAGGAATGTAAACGTCAGTTTTTAATTAAACTTTATTTTTACGATGTGGCTCCCGTCCCGAGGCGGGATTTAACTTCGATCCCGACAGACGTCTCACACTGTAAATCCGTTTTTATTCCTCGAGCTTTTATAATTGGTATCAAGCTGGATGGCTTAGATGGTATGGCGGTCGCTTGGCATGCGAGAGGTTCCGGGTTCGATTCTACTAGAAGTTGTCAAACTTTTTTTATTTTTTTTATTTTATAAACTTGTTCTTTCTTTGTTAAAAAGTGTTTTATTTTTATCATAACATAAATTTGCCCATTTTAGTTGGGTTTTTTGCTCAATGGGGCGGGGGGGGGCCAATGGGGTGGGGTCGGTTGGGTTGTGTTGTTGAGTTTGGGTTGGTTTGGTTTTATGACGTAACTAACGTGCCCTTAACATGTATACAGGTACAATTTATTATTATTATTATTTTATTATAACATAACAAATCTTAAAATTATGACGTCAATCGGGACTGAACTTAAGTCCCGCCTCGGGACGGGAGCCACAGCGTTATTTAACAAAAAAAATTTTTGCCTCGCGTGGAATCGCAATTACTCCCTCAATGAATTCCTTCACTCGCCTATCGGCTCGCTCGGAAACTTTTATCATCTGGAGTATCTCTCTCTCTTTATTTTTCTCCACTACCTCCGGAGTACCATAAGCCTCTCCCTCAGTAATGGAATTGGTCTGAGCCGTTGTGGCTCTTTTAACCAGTCACAAGTCAGGAACATGTGGAATTTCAAATCTTGAAACATCCACTACATCATTTGCACAAATCACAAAATTCCTCGCTGAAAGGACAAAGCTTGCGATATTGTCGAGAAATACCGGTATATTTCTATACCGGGAACCCCATTTTATCCTTCCTGGGTCAAAGTCAACTATTTTCAGACTTTTTCATGGAGCGATGTACACACGATGAAGGATAAAATCGAACTCTCATCGGGAGTAATTGCTTATTCCACGCTCTGTAAACACTAACTTCTAGCCGGTGCCCCAACATCGATCCCGACTGGACAAAGAATTTATTATATATTATACAATGCATCATTATCATTTAAAATTGGCGGCACAACAATAATATAATAATAAATTGTACCTGTATACATGTTAAGGGCACGTTAGTTACGTAATAAAACCAAACCAACCCAAACTCAACAACACAACCCAACCGACCCCGCCCCATTGCCCCCCCCCGCCCCATTGAGCAAAAAACCCAACTAAAATGGGCAAATTTATGTTACGATTAAAATAAAACACTTTTTAACAAAGGAACAACAAATTTATGAAATAAAAAAGTAAAAAAATTTCGACAACTTCTGAGTATCGAACCCGGGACCTCTCGCATGCAAAGCAAACGCCCTACCATCTAAGCTATCTAGCTTGACAACAAATATTATATGTTCGGGGAAGAAAACCGGATTATTATTATGACGTCACGTTATAAGGCGGTTCGTGCCAGCACGTGAGAAGTCGGGATCGATGTTGGGTCACCGACTAGAAGTTACTTCTGTAAACAATATACTATTTCCACTCTTTTGCATATTGACATTATTTGGGTTTTTTTCGTATACAGTTTGCTCATGGGTAGGGTTACAAAAAAAAATATTTTACATTTCTTAGAACATTTTATTCTTGATAAAAGTTTTTGCTTGATTTAAAACCCACAGAATATGTGAAAAGTCATTTTTATCGTCTATGGTTAATTTGCAATTTTGATATTTCTGGAGTGAAAACTTCTTAATTTTTTGTCAATTTTCGTTCACTTGTCATTTCTTAAAAGTAATCGTTTTAATTGACATGTTCAAAGCTCTTATTTTTTAATTTATTGCCAAAAATACATTTTTCATGGTTGTTTTAAGTATTTTTTATAAGTATAAATTAATGAGATCCGTAGAGAATTCTTGAGAGATTTCTACCAAATGTGATAATAACATTAATTCAAAAATGATTTTTATTAAAAAAATTTTAGAAAAATCAAAATCGCAAATTAACCATAGACAATAAAATGATGTGTCGAATATTTGAAATCAAGCACAAACTTTTATTAAGAATTTAATTTTTTGAGAAATGTAAAATATTTTTTTTCTCTTTGTAACACGTGGACAAGTTTAAATTGGTCAAATCTGTATAAATTAGTTAACCAACTGTTATTAATGTTTGTCTACCTGCAATAATTGACCGCCTGCACGGCACTAAGATTCCCGCCGAACATCTCGACCTCGACTTGGTCTGGCAGTAATTTCTTCGTCGACCACGGCAAACACGGCAACCCCGAGGCGGTGACGTCTTGCGTGCCTTCGTAGTTTAGCTCTTCCTCGCTCAGTGCGCATTCCGGCAACACCGCGGGAGGAGGGGCCACAAAGTCGGGCGGTGCGCAGTAGAACGACCAGTGCGCCACGCTGTCGACAGAACTTACCGAGAACCAACGAACGAGGCGCACAATGTGGTGGGTGACGTCAAATAGAATATGGTTACCTAGATGTGTAGGGCTTTTTAAATGGTTTTAAGAGGCCTATTCCCTTTATTGCTGTTCATAAACATCGATTTCTTAACATGTATGTTCACCCAACGACAACCCAAACATCACCTATGTTTAAAGGTATTCCGTTTCGCGTATGTTTAAAGGCTTGACCTTGAATTTTTCTGAACAGCGATAAAGGTTTCTAGGAAATAGTATCTTAGTTTTATAACCTAATAGTCTCATATTATAAACTAAAATTGTGTTAAATAATTATTTTAAAAATCATTGGTGATATTTAATAAATTAAATGAACTTAAGAAAATACACAAATTCTAAAAACACGTGGGAAAAACGTGATATGCTGTACTAGCCAAATAACAGATCTTCTGTAAATGAAAAAGGGTAATCTTAAAATAATTATTTGTTACTTATTTTTACACATACTTTTAGTGACTTGAATATAAGGAAATGGGCAAGGAAACTACGCATTTCTCTCATGGAGACTGGCAATGTCGGGAAGCCAGTTGAACAACTTTAATGACATTGAGGATAAATTACTAGCCCTAACAGGGAAGTTAGTGGTGGAGGGATTACCAACTCTTGAACTCGGCATGCCTAGCATTGCATTGACCAGCTTTTAAGGTCAACACAGGCTCTGTGGAAGGGCCCCTTTAACAACAGAGATGCAAAAAGAGGCCAAGAGAAAGTCTAGATAAAACAAAAAAGTTTTAGCTCCCATTTGAAGAAAAAAATTAAGAAGAGTTTTTAGATGCATATTTTTTGTATTTTATTAGTTCTTATACTTTTGTTTGACTAATGTTTTGTCTTTATTTTTGTGTAATATTACACAGGTATTTGGTATTTTATATTTGTTGTATTTTTTTAATAAAATATATTTTTTAGAAATCGTTTTTAGACACTATGCCCCCCTGTAACATATATTGTCAAAGTCTTAACCTCCCTCTCCCCAAATTCTCACGTCACACTCAGATTTTTTTAATTTTTTTAATAAATTAATTTTATTTAACAATTTAGTAAAGCAAAATTGGTATTTTTGTATTATTATGATAATTAAAAAATAATAAAAATATTTTTATTATTTCAAACAATTTTTTTGTGATGTGATTTGTACTATTCTCATTTATAAATAATTATTTATCATTTATAGTTATAATTAATTAGGTAATAATTATAAAAAAGTAATTAATTTATGTTTACTAATTAATTTAAGACAATCACTATGCTTGATAATAATACTCTTCTGTATACTGTACCAAGCATCGCCGGAATTTATGATTAATGCAAAATAAAAAACCTCAAATATTGGCTAACAGCACCTCTCAGGCAAGCGTTCGTAAACATGCGTTTTCAAACATTATGTATGTTCACCAAACAGCGAATTTTGGAAACAGAATAGCAAATTAGACACCGATGATGTTTATAAACATGCATGTCAAAGAAATTCTTTGAGCGCATGCGTCTATAGACGAAATAATTGAAAGGGAATAGGCACATATGTTACGAAACATATGTAGTTCATGTACGTTCAGCGAAAGGGAATAGGCCTCTAAAATGGTAAAAAGACAATTTATGGCATTTGAAAGGTAGTTTACATTTTAGGAATTTTCAAAAATTATAAAACGGATTTTATAATAATTATTAAAAATTATTTTAAAAACATTTTTAAGAGAGAAATTTAAGAAGCTACTGTAAACAACCACCCAAATTAAACAACTATTTTTTATTTTTAAAAACAATTTGTATTATTTACCTGTTGTTTTTTTGGCAAAAAGCTGCAATTTATCGCCAAAAAGAATAATATGAAACTTTTTCCAATTCCAGAAATCGACAATATTCAGCACTTCTTTTTCCATAATTATTTCTATGGGGCTATTGGGGTACAGTTCGACGATTACTTTCGTTCTTTTATCGACTTGATTATTAAAAACAATTTTTATGTTTGGGTAGGGGTAGGCAGGGTTAGGGGCCAACAAAATAGTAGCCGAATGAAATGCTCTAATGTGTATAAGGAGATCAAAGCCTAAGAAAATTGAAAAACCATAAAAACCAATAAAAGTATATATATTTTTTAACACGCTGCTAGCAAAGTCCATTTAAGTAACATTTTCAGAAATTAAAAAATACGCTATTCCCTTAAAAAAAGAGATGTAACTACAAATATGGGCAATGATATGAAATAATTTTTACTCAATCATTTCAAATGAAAATTAAAAAAAAAATGGAATTTGCTAATAAAAAATATTGGACATTGCTGCGGTTGACCCCTGATGCGTAGGAACAAATATGTACTTTTGAAATATAAAAAAAACACAATGACATATTTTTACGCGTGGGCTAATTCGAAAGAAAAAACGTAAGCATGAATGGTATGCAAAACTAATTTTATATTAAAACACTAATAAATGTCATTCAATGTTTTTAGAACAAACAATTCTATAATTAAATTCTAAAAATATTTTTTTTTTAAGTGGGACCGCGGGGATTTTTTAAAAATTGTTTTGTATGTTGTTCAAAAATACTAACAGTACTGTTTTTAGTAAAAAATCCTTAGTTCGTCAATGAAAATATTCATTATTAATGCGATTTTTCTGGCTTTGTGACAAATTTGATTTTCTGAAATTAATTTAATATATCGTCATATTCCTGCCAAAAGTCACTAACTGACATTTTGTAAAAATGTTAACAAATTGTATCTAACTATACAAATTTACCATATCTTTATCTTTTGTATATTCAAATTACTTGGTATGGTATTAGCACATCATTTTTGAAACACCCTGAATAATACATAAAATCACCTGTTTCCGTAATATGCAATTGGTAAAATTGCTGAAACAAATGCGCTGTTGTCACGTGTACATCGCAAATTTTATCCATAGTACAAAACGGCATTGACCACAAAATATTAGTGCCACTGATAGAATAATACTCAAACTTTAATTTTTTATAGCCCAACAAATTCTTTTTGTCTTTGAATTCCATTAAAAATAGAGGATTTTTCTGGCCTTCGATGCTCAACTGCACAAAATTATTTTGCCACGTCATCGAGAAAGTGACGTATTTTGTGGACTGTAAGAGTTCCGTTGTTTTAATTTTCTCCGGTTCCGAATCGGCGTTGCCAAATGCAAGCGTTGAATAGTCATTTGACAGATAAATTTCAAAGCCGACTCCTGCGTTTTCGATGTCTTTTCCGCTCAGGGGTAGGGGTAATTTTGACAGTACTAATCTAGCGGTAGCCTTAAAAAAAAGGGATAAAAATTGGAGTGTCCATACATTCTTTACCCTTAATGAATACAACACCTGGAGTAAGTAATGCTCGTGTAGTAAGCGTTGCTATGATAGATGAAAGAGCCATCAGTTCTTTGTGTGCGACTACTATAACATTATTATAGGTTCGTTTGATCAAGAAGTTCTGGTTAGTTCATTCGCATGCGCAATAACAACGCAATATTCCTTATAAGGAACATTGTGTTGTTATTGCGCATGCGAATAGTCGTAGAACTAACGAAAACTTCTTGATCAAACGTACATTGTATAAAACAATGGAGAAGCGAAAGTGTGCTATTTGAAATTTAGGTTGGGTGTATAAGCAATGTTTGTATGTCAAAAGATAAGTTTTCTACTTATTGTGTATGTTGTGATATCTGGCCTTTTACTTCGTCAGCGCGGTGTATACTATGATCCATACATTAAAGTTCCACCACGTGACTTTGATAGAAATAATTAAGTTTAATTTTCTTTCTAAAAATAATACAATATAAGTATTTTTGGTACACTAAATTAAGACATTTAGACACAAAAAATAGACATATTGTATTATTTTCAGAAAAAAGAACGAAATTAGGAGGAGGAGTGGAGCATAGTACACTTTTAAGTATACAGCCCTTAGACGGCAGATGGGGCTGTTTACCTTTCGTTTGTGGCTGTCGCTGTATTCCGCTGCTTTATAGCGGCAGTGGCAGTGTGTGCATCCCCGCCACATGACTACCCGGCACTGATAAGGCCCAAAAGACCGAAACAGGCTGTCTGTTGTGGCGTACACTTGAAACAAAAACTTGGTTACGAAGTAATCATTAATGTTTGTACCATAAAATGACTAATAAAATGATTTTACAATAATATATTAAATTAGGCCCCTATGACGTCTACATGTACTAAAAAGGGGAAAGGCATTAGCACTCCATGTGTTATATGCTTTAGGGCTTATGTTCTGTGCTTTAGGGATACCTTAAAATAGTTGTCTGGATCCCATAGTTTAACGCTAAATGTTATATTATCAATACTGCTATCAAAAGCACTGTAATGCGTATTAATTTCATTGTCATTGGTAAATACTAGACAGTCCATATCGTCACATAAAGGGATGTCGCAATATTCTTTTTCTATTTGTTCAGTTTCGGAATTTTCTGTAAAACACCAGGGGCCGCCTATGTCCATACTGGGGTTTCGGCATTGTTTCTTGGCGTTTCCTAAATTTTTTTCGGGAAAATTTTCCCTGGGGTATTTTTCTATGTATACAAGAGTGTCGTTTTCTTTAACTTTTTTGCGATTTTTGTTCCATTTTAAGCATTTTCTACCTATAGGGAATTATATATAGCTCTTTGGATTACCGGATATCTTTTAACCATAGACATATTAAAAGAGTGGACGCGTAATGCCTATTGTTGTGTATTGTAGTTAAGTGTGCCAAAAGTGAACCAAAATGTCATTGAGAAAACCTCGAAGCGGCGTCAGCTTGACAAGTTTTATGTATTTTGCCATAGATATAATAAAAGAATGGACATGTAATGCCCATTGTTGTGTATTGTAAGTAAAGCATGTCACCTGTGAGCCGCACTGTCAGTGTAAACAGTGTTTTTCCTAGAAAAGAAATTAAAACGTCGGTTTTAATATTAAAATACATTGGTGGTTTGTTTTGCATTTGGCTGTAAAGGTTATATAAGTTATAGTGGCAAGAAAGAGACTGGAATAGCCTTTGACAGGTAAAAATCCATATTATTAATGAAAACTCAACATTTGTGATAATAAATCCATTTATTGTATTCAGTATCTATTAAATCATTTCCTAAATAAACAAATATGCGATTTTAGAATACATTGCACAGTTGACAAAGGTCAACAATGTCAGATTTCTTTCAGTGGCGTATTTTCTTTATCGAGAGTATTACATTTCTTGATGAATGATGATGCGATACACTACTAGTTTTAACAGTGTTGCCAATTGCTTTTGGCAAAATTACACCCAAACTCTCCAGAATTACACCACATTACACCCCAACAAAAATTAAGCCTGATTTTAAATCAGTGATTTATAACATGGAAAATGTCGTATGCTCGAAACCCATATTTTTTTGCAAAAATAATACGTTATCATGATTCAGGGGTGTCCAAACTATTATTTATTATTATTATTATTGTTAATTTTCAATGCCCACCGTTTTTCAAATTAAAAAAACGCTTGTTTTCATAGATTGCATTTCTTCTGCGTGAAAACATACACAATACGCAAGCATTTACAAATTGACAGCGTTAATCTATAAATGGAAATACGGCATTTCTAAAAATAATTTTAGATTTAAAGGTACAAATTGTACCTTTAAATCTAAAATTATTTTTAGAAATGCCGTATTTGTACCGTACAATTGTATATTGAGAATGAGATAGCTGTACTATCCTTTTTTTATGGCTGTACTAAATAACAATTACCTTTAAAAGCCAGCGATCCATTTTTAAATAACAAAACCAAAATTGACATTCTACAACATTCACAACTTTAATTAAAATATCATTAAGGTATAACCAAAAAATAATTTTAGTGTAAAATTATTTGTCTTAAGAAAGAGATAAAATTTCTTGTGAACGCAAGGAAACATTTACGCGCATGTGTCACAAACAGCTGTTGTTAGCGAAAGCCAATAAGAACGGCGAAGCTGCTATATCGTCGATGATACTTGCGCAAAACCGCTTTGCAGCGTTAAAAACACTAGTTAGAACGAAAAGGAAGATTCCGAGGGGCGTGGCCACTTCTTTACCCATAAACCTAATACTACATACATATTATGATATTAAATCCAGGGATTCCCCTTTTTACAAAATGAATTATATTTTTATCACATTTAAAACTTCCCTTAAATAAAAATAGGTACGTTTTAAATGATCCGTCCAAAATAACACCCAAATTACACCGCATTCAAAAATGTTAGAAAATTACACCACAGTCAGTAAATTACACCCAAATGGTGTAATTACACCGCAATTGGCAACACTGAGTTTTAAGGTTAGTTCAGCCACGCTATTTTTTGGTTCACATTTCGCACATTTCCATAGGTCTTGTTACGCGTCTCCTCTCTTTCCTTGTCTGCAATTCTACGTGCAATAATCTTGCACGAAGGCATGCGTATAGAGACGATTCGTGCAAGTTTATTGCTGTTTCAAATTATCGGTCCTGCTCGATTTTTATTGCCAGTTCGGTTGGTATCATGCAAGTTGAAATTTGAATTTCAGTGTTTTACAGTCAGCAATAAAACTTGCATGCAAGAAAGTTGCTGTAATACGGGCTTAAGCAATTTTCAAAGCGCGCAATCTCGGTTCGATCAATATTCATTTTATACCCGTGGGGCATTCCACGTTACTCGGTAATTTTTGTCCCGCCCGTCACAATTCAAAATGAGTAAAAAACAAAAGTTATTAAATTAATATTTTATAATATTATTTTTATTGTGCTTATAACTTATTAAAAGCATAATAAACAATATTTTAAAATAAATTTATAACGTGTAGTTTTTACTCACAATTTTTAATTGTGACGGGCCGGACAAAAATCCCCGAGTAACGTGGAATGACCCCCATGTTAATCCTTCAAAATTTAAAAATAATAATTATATCCAATGCAGAGTGGAACGTATAGAAAAAAACAAATTATTAACGTGTATAGTATAGTTCTGTAAATAGAACCAGTCGACAATGGTTGATGATGCAACACATCAAAAAGTCCACTTTGATATGTAAATAAGACATGCTCTTAAATAATTGAGGTTAATAACCTTGGGTCAATTTAACGCTAATTTTAATCTTATTTTCTAAAAATAATACAATATATGTATTTTTGTATGGCCTTAATTTGTACCCCAGAGCCAAACTGTATTGAGACCAGAGCTGTTCCGAGTACAATGAAAAAGTACTCGAGTACTGAATACAAGTACTCTTATATAAAAGTACTCGAGTACCAAGTACAAGTACAGTACCGTTGTACTCGAGTACCCATACGAGTACAAAGTACAGAGTACACTTTAGTTCAGCCATTCCACGCTACTCGGGAACTTTTGTAGCGTCCGTTACAATCAGAAATTGTGATTAAAAGCTACCGTAATAAAATTAAATACTGTTACAATAGTTAATATTGCAACCATGTTTATTATGATTGTAATAATTAGGCTTAAACTTATAAGCATAATAATTACGGTAGTTTTACTCACAATTTTTGATTGTAACGGACGCTAAAAAAATTCCCGAGTAGCGTGGAATGGCTGAGTACAAAGTACACTTTAGTTCAGCCATTCCACGCTACTCGGGAACTTTTGTAGCGTCCGTTACAATCAAAAATTGTGATTAAAAGCTACCGTAATTACATTAAATACTGTTACAATAGTTAATATTGCAACCATGTTTATTATGCTTGTAATAATTAGGCTTAAACTTATAAGCATAATAATTACGGTAGTTTTACTCACAATTTTTGATTGTAACGGACGCTAAAAAAATTCCCGAGTAGCGTGGAATGGCTGAGTTATGAAATGTTGGGAAAAATGCTAGAGAAATGGGGCGATTAAGAAATGAATTTAGAATCACTAGTGCAAAACTAAATACTAGCCGGCCTATTGCCTTCATCAAATATTGTTATTTCGCTTTATGTTAATTATCAATGCCGGCTAGTATCTTGTACTTTGCCTTAGCTTTATTTTTTAATTATCTTTTTAAGGAATATTGTCACCTTATTTCTACCAAAATTTAAACAAAATTACATTTCATACATAAGTAAAAACCTTTTGTTCAATGATTTTTCCTGTGTCTTTTTATTTATTGAGTGAGACTGTCTTAAGGCTGTCGTGTGAGGCAGGCTGGCTGAGGCTGCCTCAGGCAGCATGTCCGTAATTTGACAAGTCTGAGCAGTGTTGCTCATTTTCAACACCCACGCACATATTTGCACAAATGTGTCCACGCCAACCTCACTGCATAAAAATATACTCATTGCATATTTTGGATGTACTCGAGTACAAGTAAAAGTACTCGAGTACACTTAAAAGTACTCGAGTACACGGGAAAGTACTCGAGTACATTTTTGCAATCCTAAATGTATCAAGTACAAGTATAAGTACATTCAAATTAAAGTACTCGGGACTGAGTACCGAGTACACTGAAAGTACTTGGAGTACAGTGTTTGAGTACTTGTACTCGAGTACACGGGAAAGTACTAGAGTACATTTTTGCAATCTTAAATGTATCAAGTACAAGTATAAGTACATTCAAATTAAAGTACTCGGGACTGAGTACCGAGTACACTGAAAGTACTTGGAGTACAGTGTTTGGGTACTTGTACTCGAGTACCGCACAGCTTTGATTGAGACACTTTTTAAAAAAATCACATTACACACATGTCCGCTTTTTCCAATGGTAAAAGTCCTATTTACCATTGGAAAGAGGGGAAATCCGTAGGCAATAAAATTGTAACGTGATTTAAAAAACCTGTACTTAATAGTTTGGTTCTGAGATACAGATATATTGTATTATTTTTAGAAATCAGCCTTGAACTAACTGACATGGCCTCAATTATTTGTCTGCATTCCTTCAAATGTCATGTGAGGTTTTTATGTGTAATATAGTACATAGAAACAACACTGCTTTTTATTTCTATGTATTTATACCCCATTACTTTAAAGTATTAAGGGTAGCGCTCAATTTTTTTTTAATTTCGCGACAACTTCTCTGCATCTCGGCTCGTCTTTCTTGCCCAATTTTGTAAATTTTAAAAATGTAGGTCCTAAACATTCGTTGTTAAAAGGTTATAGGGTGACTTGTTAAATTAAAATCTGGCATCCAAAATACTAACGTAAACAATTCAACATGAATATAAATAATTATTATGAATGACTTATCATAAAAACAGGAATGATGCGTAAGTTTTTAAAATAAATCTTTAAAAAATGTTGAATTGTCAAAATATTTGCTCGATAAAAATAAAAAATGAATTTAAACTCTAATTTTAGTATAAGTTGTTTAGCATTTTTAATTTACAAAAACCATCGAAAATGGATGAAATATACGAAAAAAGTACAGTCATCAACTATACGATAATAATAAGAGAAATATTACAGAATACAATTTTTTTATTACAAAGTATTAGAAATTTAATAAAATGCCATAAGACAGACATACCAGAATTACTCTTCTTCTCCTTTCCAGAATACTCCAACCCAGGCCCCGTAAGCTTACAATAAGTATAGGAACAAATAGGCAGAGCGCATGTCTCGTACAATAAATCGGTGTTCACCGTATAACACCAAGGCCCATTGGGATTTTTCGTGGGATTCCTGCAATAATTTTTCGCTTTTTTCATCGACCCATCAGGAAAAAACTCATTTTTAACGTCGGATTTTATTGTGTGGGGCACATTCGATGTCCAAGATTGGCACCGAACGTTTGATTCTGTTTGTGCTGCATTGCCCAGGTATTCTAGACCTAGCACACTCACTTTGCAAACGTTTAGGTCCGTTAAATTGCCGGGCACGTCTTCCGGAGTTACCAGATATTTATTTATAACGTAAAGTAGTAAAAGTGACTTAATCATGATGATGTTTTGGTAGTTTAGCCACAAAATATGATTCTGTCAAAAAGCTCTATAAAACTGATGATAGAAGGCGCCACATTATTTTTAAATAACTTTTTTAACAGAGATTAATAATACCTTTATGTATGACATTTGTTATGCAAATAATATAAGCTATATTTAAATAAAATACTTAAATCAAAGTATTATTTTCCTACCTTTGTAAACGATCAAATCCAAGCAATTTACGCATCTTGGGAATTTTATAGAATCATCTAATGTAGATGTACTGCTCAATTCCTTGGCATTGACACTTTTTTCATTCCGGCACAATAATAATTGTGAAGGTTGATCTAAAATAAATAAATAAATACATTTCTTGTAGCCTTTAAAACTATCATTAATATATTTTTAAAATGTACTGTACTGTAAAGTAATAATAGTACTATAGTATATAAAGTAATAAAAGTAATATTACTATAGTATATTCATTGTACTAATTCTTTAAAACACAACAAATGCACGCGTAAATTAAATAATGCATGTTTACTTATTTTTCAAAAGGTGAATTATTGCTACTATAACCTTGATCACCCTGTATATGCCTACTTAATTTTAAATAAACCAACAAAAATAGGGAAATGTTAACGTTTTTAAAATAAAAGTTTCTCTTAGATAAAACCATATATTTAAAACTATTTATACCTATATATATATTTATGGTATATGTATATCATCACTATATCGATTGAGGATTTAGAGTTATATATTTTTTTAATGGATCTTTAAATATTGGGATTTGTTTAAATTTAGGTATTTTCAATTTAATATATCTCAGAAGAGGCACAATTTTAGAAAACATTAATTTATTGTGTTGTAAATAAGTGGTTAATATTTCATCACGGCGAATCACTGAAAATTCCAGACGAATCGCAATAAATTAGCTATTTTTATAAATGTCTAAACTAAAACAATTAAGATAAGTGTTTTAGTTTAGACATTTATAAAAATAGCTAATTTATTGCGATTCGTCTAGAATTTTCATTAAACATTATTTTATTACCCATGTTGTTAAAATTTCATCACTGAGACTATAATTTTTTTACATTTTTAAAAATAGCTAATATTTCAGGAAGCGCTCTAAAGTGTATTACATTACTTGTAGTAAATATCTAAAAAACATTTTCATTACGCTTTATGAAGAAGATAGTAACAAAAAATATCTAGATTATTTTTGATTAAAGCTGTTCTCGTGGACAAATCGTAAAATTAAATCGGATCTCGCTAATTTACCACCTACAGAATCGGCGGCTAAACACCATTCATCAACATTTCATCCGGTGAAGGCATGGTTGGCGAATGTTTTAGATACAGAATATGGGGGCTAAACCTTAAGCCAATGATGAATTTCGTGCAGGAAAATATGTTTAAACTTTAGATAGAATACCATTGGCCCTGACAAAGAGATTTGTTTGATCTACCAACCATGGTTTCTCTAATAAGATACAACAAATTTTAAAAAAGGCCAAACCTACCACACTACACTTATATTTTGACGTGATTACAATAAAATAATGTTTTCTTTTCAAATATTTCAAATGGTAAATACCCGATTTTAAACTAATCGCAATAAAACAAACATCTAAAAAAGTAATGAAAACATGTTTTCAACTCTCCGAGTAAGGTAAAACATATGTAATAAAATAAAAAATAAATAATTTTTTTTTAGCAACCATCATAAAGATTCATTGGTTAATTTAATTTGGATTGGCAGTAGGTACTGTATAATTTATTACAGTTCGTATTTTTTATTCGAAATTTGACGTCAAAAATTTGGGGGTTTAGTTGTCAAATTCTAGGGACCCTAAATTTATAATTGGCTACATTAAGTAGAACAAACTGTAGTTTGCCTCATTTGGGCCGTAAAGTCAATTATATTTCATCAAAGGTAAAGTTATTGCATTTTTTGACTCGTATTTGACATTTCAAAATTTATAAATATATTTTTATAATTATAACCACAATTATATTCTCCACTAAACTATAGTTAGTAGAGAATATAATTGTGGTTATGTTATAATTATAAAAATATATTTATAAATTTTGAAATGTCAAATACGAGTCAAAAAATGCAATAACTTCTTATAACAATTTTGTTATTTACCTTTAAGTAACCATTTTTTTAATTCTTTTACACCCATGTTTTTTATTTAGTTTATTTCCATTCCTCTAAAGATTAACTAACTAGTTCTTCAGCCCGTTCTATCCCCACGTTCTAGTCGCTTTATTTAGGCGATTGTATACTTGTATAAAAACATATAAAAATACGAAAAATCGTTCCGATCGAAGAGTCAAAAAATTAATCAATCAAAATATTTAGTGATAAAAATATTTTTATAAAATAACTTTTTTACAGGTTAAAAAAAATATTATTTTCTTACCGTATTCTGAAGGTGGCAGGCATTCTTTTAAATAAATTTTCTCAGAAGCATTGCTGTAGTTTTTCTCAAGATCAGTAATTGATTTGTATTTTGTTCTGTCGTCGTTAAAAACGAATCCTTCGTTGCCGATTAGTTCTATTTTAAAAGTTTTTGGACTATGACTAAAAAAAATTATACATATATATAATATATATACATATTTCATAAAAGTTTACAAATATTACTTACCCATCTTTTACGCAAACATCTATATATAATTCTTTATATTTTGTTTCACTCTCTCTTATTATATAACATCCATGTTTGTAGCCCCTCTTTGCTTCCAGTTTTGAATAGGCAAATTCTCCACTAAAACAGGGACGTATTTTTTTTTTGAGAACTTGTTTTTTTATTGCAAGAAGTCTTAGTGACATCCAATGAAATAGTTATTTGTGCAATGTGGTCAATAATGATATTTTTCAAAAAAAGGTAGTGTAAAATCTGTCTTGTAATTTCAAGAGGTTTACCCTATGGGCCACCAATTTTGGAACACCCTGTTTTTTACACGGTTGTTATAATTTAAATCAAATGATTTTAATTACCAATTCATTAATTGATTTTGTTTGTATCAGGATTTAAAACAATAATTACGTACTGCAATAAGGATAAAATTTTAACAAAAATGACAAATAATTTGTAGAAAACTGTTGTTAAAAAACATTCCTACTCAGTTATGCTATCAGATATTATTCTTTATATTATAAAAAATACGTTTTAAAAGCACACAACACGACAATTGTTTAATAACTAAATAACTTAATTCCTTCGGTCCGCCAACTTATTGTGGACAGACAATATATCTAAATTAAAATTATTTGCTTCTTCCAAACTACTTAAACTGTAAAAGTACAAAATATGGGTACCTATACAAAAATGGCTGAAAAACAATTATTGTTATCAAAACTAAATCCAGTAAATAAAAAAATCGGATTTTTTTTTAATTTAAACAAATAACAACCCTGGTATTTTAATAAATAATTTAATATTTAAGGTTTGGACACAATACTTAGTCAAAATAAGAAAATGTTTTAAAGTTCTAGGTTGTAGTCTAGTTGTATAGTCCATCAATATAATATTTACAAAGTTTAAGACAGATTGTCTCGCTTATATAATAATTATTATACTTTAAAGTAGCAATATTTTTTTAATTTAAAAAAAAATTGGTATCTCTCATTGTATTTTGTAATAACTTTTTAAATGGAATGGAATGGTTCAGTTTTTATTTATTGCTTACCCAACCGGTCCATGACACCTCAAATTGCGAAGTTTTTTAAGCGAGGGCGTGTGCAGTTTATTACAAATGTTAAAAGTCCATTTATGGCTTAGTCTGTAGTATCCGTCCACGACGCTAATAAAAGAGTGCAACGCGTTGCTTGAGTTAAAACTACAATAGAAGGGATGCCCGGTGTTCCTTGAAATCATCAACTTATTATTCTGCGTTATCGAGATTGAACCGACGTCTTCTATTGCACACAATAATGTCCATTTCTGTAATTAAAAAATCAAAATGAAATATTTGTAGGTATAGCTCCATCAAAACAAAAAAATCAGGGTTGACAAAAACCCGGGTAAAATTACAAAAATGCTTTTCCTTTTTTGGGTTGGTTTTCAGAAGGGAAACTGCATAAATTATCAACCTACATGTTTAAAAAAAAATATTGATTTGGAAGCTCATAAGTGATGGTTGGTTATGCACAAAAAATGGGAAATAATGGTGTTGGTTGGTTGCAGTTCAGAATTTTGCCTTTTGTCTTGCGACTTTTGAGCACTACTTCAGCTGCAATGGACCGAATTTTTTAAACTTTTGGCCATGTGTTGTTAAAACAGGCTAGAGCCAGAAGAAGATCATTCCATTCGTAAAAATTTATCGTTAACAATGGCGACAACAATAAAGATTGGACTAATGTGGTATTAAATTTATGACACGAGGAAGGATAAAAAAGTATCTACTCTACTTTGTTTTTATGCTTTTTGAATTTTGATCTTGACATTTATTTAGAGATTAAAGAGATATTTTTATTATAAAGGTCAGCAATGCTGCCAGGTCGCTCGATTTTTAATATAGCGGAATATGTCGTTAAGAAAAAGCGGGAGATAAAAATGACATTTTTAAATATTTCACCGCAAACCAAAAAATTAAAATTTTGATAAACAAAAAAAAATAAATATTCTATATTAGAAGAGATCAATCTGAATATTCATCTAAATCATAAATTGAGTTATTAATTTTATTTTGCAATGAGAAATTTATGTCAAAATTTAAAAAAATTCTACATTTAATGTTGCAGAAACCGGCTTACGTCTTACGTCAAACCAACTACAGTGCTTGATATGCAGAAAAAGCCGTAAGCTGGCTTCTACAACAGTTGTAAATATCTTCAAATAATCGTGTCATGCCAATATTTGGTTTTAGGCAACCTAGATTTAAATTGTATGATGCAAAGGAGAATTTTTCAATTCAAGGGAACCAAAAAAAGCGGTAGATGTTTTTCAAGAGCAGTACCGCTAAAACGGTTGACCTGGCAACACTGTATGTTAGATGAAAAAATGAGGTTAAATCTGGATGACATCTGACAACTGTTATCCAGATTTAACTTTACTTTTTTCCAATTTATAACTTTAGCCCAATTTATAACTTTAGCCCAATTTATAACTTCAGCCTGTGACTAATTCGCCATAAAGTCACAGCTCGTCAATGTAGGAGTAGATAATACAAGCAGTGTTGCCACTCGTTCATTTTATTTCGTACTAGGTGGCTTCGTAATTTCGTACTAGATTGTACTAAATGCTATATGGGTGAAATTGGCCACAGATAGCAGCACCAATAATTTATATATTTGGTTTTGTGTTACGAATATTTGGATGACTGCACTTTTAATTGAATAAATAACACATATATTTAAGTATCCTAAAAAAATAAACTATAAGAGAGACAACCAAAAGTAAATTATTTTACGAGAGATAATGCAGGCTATTATTCAAGAGGGTGAGGTTTACGTCTCGAGTCGCCAGACGAGAGACCTAAATTATCCGAGTGAATATTGCGCATAATCTCGAGTGTAATACTATACTTTAACTACTCCAATAAGTAAATAATTAAATGATTTTTAAAATTAAATAAATAAACATCTGTCAAATGGTTAACCTCACTATTTACCAATTTTAAATGTTATTATAGTCGCCTTTTCCCAATTTAAAACCCGATCAAATCACAGTGAATATTGAAATCGGCCTATCACTGATGCCTAACAACGTGAATAATGAGTTTATTATTCACGTTGTTAGACAGGAATTTTATAATGAACATTTAACATTATTTATGGAAAAAACCCAAAATTAAGCAATGGGAGTAGATAAAAGCATTTTTTTTGGCAGTCCTGCTCGAGAACTTCTAAAAAACTGCAAGTAGCAGACTGCAACGCTGGCTGTAAGATATAAAAAGCCTATAAAAAAGAAGCCTGTGAAAAGAAGGTTGCAGAACACCCAGTGTGATTGCATAATTATTATTATTATTATTTTTTTATTCATGTCACTAACATAAAGTCAGGTGTTTGCATTGTTGCCAAAATAATTAAAAATTATTTTGGTTTTAATTCCGTTTAAACCACACAATTGTGGTTTCGACCAATTTTGTTGCGAAAATATATTCAACTATAAAAAGTACTAGATTTTGCTAAAGCGTACTAACGTACTAAAAAATCAATTTTAGGACTAGATCTAGTACAAAAGTACTAAAAGTGGCAACACTGAATACAAGGTGCAGCACCTTAGGTGCTCCCGAGACGATTTAAATAAAATTTTGATGACACTCCAAAATACTTGTTTTATTGTATTTAGAATATATCCCAACAGTTTTTAAAATCAGTTTACGTGATCATTTTTTTTAAATGGGTTTGAATGAAAAAGTCATGTTTCCGGGGATAAAAAATATTTAATGCAATAATACACTAAGTCAAATTATCTATAATCTTATATACCTACATTTATCAAACCTCATTAAATTCGCAGTCATTTAAGTGTTGTCTTATTTTTATGTCGTCATGGTTATAAGAATAATAACAATAAGTAAATATTGACAAGTACTTGTCAATATTGCAATATTTAGCATTGCTTGATTTCTTGCAAAGTTGAGTCTAGTTTTTTTGTTATCATTTGAATAATATCATAATAATATAATATATCAAACATATTCTAAGGCGATTTTATTCGTGAGTTCTAGAAAATGTATGCAATAAATACATGCCATCGCCTTAGCATATGTTTGATTTGTAAGAAAAAACCTAAACAAAAGTAATAGGTAATAGGTCAAAAGTGATAAATGTTTTTGTGACCGCGCTCCGACCTCAGCGCTAGAGGTCTGAGCGCGGTCATAAAATCATTTATCACTTTTGACCTTTTATAAAATAATAACTTTTTTTACCAAAATTTTCGTAAGGGATTGTAAAATCAGATAAAATGTGAAAAAATTTCCTCGCAGGCGGAGAAGTTTTATTAATTTTCAATTGTTAGTATTTTTTGTATTTTACCATGTACCTATTATGTAATATGAAATATTTATATTGACTTGTTCTATATCCATTGCGATCCTGAGAATAAATAAACATTATTATTATTATTATTATTATTACATACCATCGTTCAACTCATTAGATATAACAAAGGTTCGTTTCGTATGGGTTTTTGTGTCAGGAATACTGATCACTAAAGACCGGATTTTAAGCATGATGCTTATTGCTGAATTTTATAAGCAACCAAGAGCTAATTAATTTGTACACGAATTTACGCAAAACTAAGTAAATTGCAGTGTTTTTTTAATGCTTTTTTTGCTTTTTTTAAGGTTTTATGCTTTTTTTCGATTTCGTGCTTATTTAAACTTTTTTCCATTTTTTTATACATTTTTTTAATCATATAAAATATATGAAAAAAGGAACATCCTGCAACAGCACCAGGCATCGCGGGTATCCCCGGGTAATTCCCCGAAGTTTTATGCCCTGCTTTTTAATGTTTAGTTAAAATACACGATACGTTACGGGGTTCTATTATTGTGCTTGCGCTTTATGTGCTGTACGTGGTAATTATTTAGACAATGCCAAAACAAATGCCAACCATTGAAGAGTGGATTAGTGGTCACAAGTAGGGATGCACCGGATCGGGTATTTTGCCGATCCGGCCGGAACCGGAATTTCGGCCGCTGGCCGGACCGGATCGCCGGAATTCCGGCCGGATCGGGACCTAAATTTAAAATGTATGTGCATGCCTATTTTTATACGTAAAACATTGAGGCTGATTTATTTTTATTTTTTTTTTTAAACTAGCTACAGTATGCAGAGTGTTTATTACTATTAATTTGGAAAGAAAATATATTTTGTTCAAAAAAAAAATTATTTGTGATTAATTAACGACTTAACAATAGGTAAGTAGGCACCAATTAAAAAAAACCTTAAAATAATTTTCTTTATTTTTGCATATATTTGAATTTAAATTGTATTAAAAATTTTAAACTTAAACATTTCCAAAAAGTTCCGAAAATTCCGGCCGGAAAGCGATCCGGCCGGAACGGTAGTTCCGGCCAACTGGCCGGATCGGCCGGATTTAATGGTACCGCCGGAATTCCGGTGCATCCCTAGTCACAAGGAACTAAAAATTAACAATAAAAAGGTCTTTTGTCAAGCATGTTCTAAAACTGTAAGTAAAATTATAGTATTTATTTATTGTTAAAAATTACTGATTTTATTTTATGGTTTTGAAGAGATTTCCTTTTTTACTTAAATTGAATTACTTTAAGGTATAAATGAACATTTTAAGGATGAAATAAAATAAATTGAATAAAATACAACTTTTAATTTCTAAAAGATTATTCGACTTTACATTCTACTTTCTCAACCCAATACTGTAATGGTTTCCTTTCAATAAAAAGCCGCCTAGATAGTGTTTTTTATTTTAATCAATCTAGTATGGGATTATTTTTTTTAAATATAATCTTATACAGAATTGCAAAATTAAGCGGGCAGAAAAAAATTACCTAATCAAATTTTAACCTCAGTTTTTTCTTCAACCTCTTAATGAGACCATTTTTTATTAGAAATATAGCTTGATTTTTTAAGAACATATTTAACCCATTTCTAAATAATATATAGAATTTATTTATGTGTTATGTGTCTTAAGGTGGTTATAAAGTATGGAATAAATTTTTTCAAAATTAAGAGGATAAAAAAGAGTTAAAAAAAAATGCTCGAACTTTTCGAATTTTTTTTAATGGATGGTAGTATTTTTTATCTTGGAATAAAAGATCCTTTCGTTCCGATACCACATTGATGGGTTTATCTTAAACGGTTCTGAAGATATGAATGTTTAAACCTTCCATGAGAACATTTATTTGGGATTTAAATTTAAAATGAAATCATTTGATTGCTTTGTTTTATGGGAGGTTTAAAAATTCATATCTCGAGAACCGTTTAAGATAAACCCATCAAAGAATCTTTGATTTTAAGATAAAAAATGCAGGGTGTTCCATTAAAAAAACCGCCACGCTCTTTTGGGACACCCTATATACCAAAATATCTATTTATACTGTCTGTAAAGTAAGTAGCAGAATATGATATGATATATGATATTTTTAATTTTTTTAATTTATTGCAGATCATCTGCAAGAAAACGTACGATGTAACTCAACATTTACAAACAGAACGCCATAAGGAGCTCTTGAATAAGTTAAAAGAAAATAAAAATAGACAACAGACTATTTTGACTTCAATAGCTTCAACTTCTGGTTTAAATGAACAAAAACAATTTAATTTTGACTTGTGTAGTGCTATGGTTAAATCGGATATTCCATTAAATAAATTACAGAATAGCTCTTTTAAACAATTTCTACAGAAATATTGCAAAAAAAACATTCCAGATGAAAGTACTCTTCGTAAAAATTATGTTTCTCCAGTTTATGACGAAACAATGCAGCAAATTAAAAAGAAGATAGCAAATAATTATATATGGTTTGCTGTAGATGAAACAACTGACACATGTGGAAGATATATAGCCAACTTAATTATAGGAGTCTTAAATGAAGATATCGTCATAGAAGGATTTTCAATAAAATCCAAAGAATTAACAAAAACGAATAATAACACTGTTTCTAGATTTGTTCTTGAGGAATTAAACAAGTTTTTTTTGCCCGAGGTGGTTCCGAATGAAAAAATTCTATTGATGCTTTCGGATGCTGCAGCATACATGATAAAAGCTGCATCAAATTTAAAGGTTTTTTACTATAATTTAATACATTGTACCTGCTTAGCTCATGGGCTTAACCGCATAGCAGAAACTATAAGGTTGCAGTATCCGTTGGTCAACACATTAATAAAATATGGCAAAAAATATTCATAAAAGCTCCATTGAGAGTACAATTTTTTAAAGAGAGATTGCCTGATGTTCCATTACCTTCAGAACCAATTGTAACAAGATGGGGAACTTGGCTAGATGCTGCCATGTACTATGCCGATAATTTTACAGAATTTAAGAGATTGTTACTTGAATTTGAAGGCACAGAAAGCAAAGCAGTTCAAGAATGTCAGGAAGTTGTAAAAATACCTGAACTTGCACACAATTTAGCTTTTATTAAAAGTCAATTTAAATTTGTAAGTCAGAGTATTCAGCTATTGGAAAAACAACAGCTACCTTTATTGGAATCCGTCAATGTTATTACAAGTTTTGAAGCTGCAGTAAATACTATTCCAGGATCTATTGGTCAAACAATTAAAGAAAAATTGGTCCAGACTCTCTCGAAAAATTCAGGGTTCCAAACATTGAAAAAAATATCTATTTTAATTGGTGGGCAAGATTCCGATTTTGAAATGGATCCAGCCATTATCCCGAAATTTAAATATGCACCAATAACCAGTGTGGATGTGGAGCGAAGTTTTTCTGCATACAAAAACATTTTAACAGACAGAAGACATAATTTTACTATAGAAAATTTGGAGAAACATCTAGTTATACATTCCTTTAGGTCTTAATAATAGATATAATGTAAAAATAATAAAATGTATCATTTAAATAATAAACACCAATATTAAGATTATTACAACTTTTTTGTATATTAATTATTTTTAATTAACTTGCTTATTTGGTGCTTTTTTGGCAAATTTCATGCTTTTTAAGAGCTTTTTATTTAATATTTTGATACTTTTTTAAGCACTTTTTTTTTAAATTGTGCTTATTTATCCGGTCTCTACTGATCACTATTAAGTTCCCTTTATCTTCGATGTTATGTACTGTTAAATAGGCTAATTATTCTCGACGACACGCTCCAGCCAACCCAAATATAGTAGCGACTTTCATTACAAGATAAATATCATTGGGTGCCTCATTAAGAAATTTGGAAATTTCATTTTGAGTGAATATTTTTGGTCGAAAACCAACATTTTGACGTTTTAAATAAGCTGACAGTTTAGCAAATCTTCCTATGTCAACATTATTTCTTATTTTAATTACCGCCTTTGGTCAAGATATTCGACGTTATTAACATCGAATATCTCGACTCGAGATATTCGATGTTAATAACATCGAATATCTCGACCAAAGAGTCGATGGTTTACTAATTTTGCTGGCCTCTGAAAAATAGGCTAGAAGAATTTCTTCTTTAATTCCTTTGACGTTTTTTTTGCAACATTGCTTAAATATGTTGATTCCTTTTCCGTATCTCGCCCGTGATTTTTCAGGAAGTAATTCCAAGCTGGCTTTTTTTGCTTCTTCCAGGATAGACTCGGGAATCTCATAATTTTCACTTTCACTTTCCATTTTTAAACTCAAAACCTTGACGTTTCAGGACTTAATTGAATACGTCAATGCAGAAACTGAATATGTCCTACCTATCTAGTTTTGAGATAAATAAGAAAAACTGAACAGAAAGTGGACATGTTCTGGACATATTCAGTTTCTCTACTATATTAACGCGCCTTTGTATAATCTAGATTACCGTGACATGTGAAATTTCTACGCCATTCGATCGGACACCCTTTACTTATAGTAAATCCATGTTTAACTCAATATCCCTAAAAAGTGGACATATTCAGTTTCTGCATTGACCTATTCAATTATGTTTAGTATTTTAAAAACCATAGAAACCAATAATGGAAATGCTACTACTCTGCTTAACAATTGCGGGGTTGCGTGCGGAAAGTATTTGCGTGCGGAAAAGTGCTACTTTCCGCACGCTTGTAGAAAATTTATACAGGGGAAGGAATAATATCGTTCACAGCGGGAGAAATAAATGACATTAATTATTAACAATCGGCGGATTATTAACCACTCGACAAAAAAAAGATTCATTTTCTAAGCAACGATGCCATTACGATATTTGACTTTTACAAAAAATTATTTGTTCTCACTTAAGCCTAACAGAAAAGTAATTTAATTTTATTAAATGGTCTAATATCTAGTCCATTTTTAATCTCTCAAATTAAATTTACTACTCCACAAAGTAATATAAGTAATCATAGGACCAATTTTGGTAAACATTTTTTTTTTTGGAGAGATCTTTGAATTTTTTAAATAGGGAGGAAAGGCTGGATGTATTTAGGGGTTCTTTTCGATCCTTTAAGAGAGCTTTAATCGAATTAATTTAACTCGTGGATCTCTATTTGAATATTATTTGTTAACTTAGTGATAATTATATAATTAGTATTTGTTATTATTATTGTTACTATTGGATAAATGAATTGTTATTTTTTTATTATTAATGTTAACTATCTGTTTAAAGAATTTGTTAGTTATTTTTAATTTAGTGAATAACTGTAATTTTCTACTTTGTAAGACACAACCTTTATATGTAATGTTTATACTGTAATGGGGTTTTCCCGTTTAAGCAATAAATAAAATAAAATTTAAGATGTAGGTAATTTAGGACTTAATTTAATAATTGGCCAACTTCTATCTTTTAATTTAAATTATGTAATTTCAAGGTTATTTCGTACTAACCTAATCTATTTTCGGAGAATCCAACCTATTTTGTGTAAACGGTTTTAATGATAAGAAAAATATTTCGATTGTAATTACCAAAGTAAGTATATCTAATACTTTAAGTTTTAGATACATGAAGTAAGCACTCTCTTTAAAATATTGTTTTTAATTTCAGACACTATTAAATTAGGTACCTTCATTTTTGTATGAACGCAAGTAAATTAAATTAAATTACTTTTAAAGTTAAATTAAAATATATTACGTTATTTCTCTGTTAGAACCCAGCTTTAGAACTTGACATGTATTAATATATACAATGCACATGTGCATTGTATGCATACAAAGTATCGCATAACAAGTAAAAAAAATCCAACTCTAAAACGCCTTTACCAATCTTTATACAATTTTGGATAAAATACATTAACTTATATCTCAGTTTACCTGTGCAGGGGTTTTTCGAGAAAATATTTTAAAGCCCTTTTATTTAATAATAAAAAACGCCCGAAAAAAACTTATAGGGAATTTTTTTAAGTAAATAAAAAATATTCTGTTAATGACCGTATTTTTGTTAGTAGGTATACCCTCGGTATACCCTGAAAATTTTGAACATATCAAACGAACAGTAATGAAGATACAGCGTTTTAAAGTCGTCAAAAATAACCAAAAAGGGGCCATTTTTACCGACTTTGAAGCGGTCTTTAACAACATAGGTATTTTTAATTTACTTAAAAAAAAATCCCTATAAAAGTTTTGAGTGTTTTTTATTATTAAATAAAGGGCTTTAAAGATATTTTCTCGAAAAACAGGTAAACTGAGATACCATTTTCAGGTGTTATCTTCTGGGCTGCTGTGGAACGTCTAACTCGCAGCAGAGCAGCAACAGCAGCCCAGCAGATAAGACCTGAGAACCAAAAACCGACAACACGAAGCAGATCCCGGAAAACCATTAATATATATATATATATATATATATATATATATATTTATTCTTTAATTTATACCTGTTGTAGATGCTTGTAATCTTTTACGGTTTAATAAATACATGTCAAATAACAAATAAAAACACATGCGCAGATGAAGGAGCCGTGAGTGGCATTTAGTATCAACATACAATTAGGGACTAAAAGTCAACTTTTAATGACAGCTTTCAAAAAAATTATTTTGGAGGAAATAATTTGGTAGTGAGCGTTGACAATAATAAATAATAATAATAAATTATAGCTTGAAGATAAAAAATATTATATTTATATAGGTTTTAATAAAAAGCCTAAATTAGGGACTAAAAGTCAACTTTTAATGACAGCTTTCAAAAAAATTATTTTGGAGGAAATAATTTGGTAGTGAGCGTTGACAATAATAAATAATAATAATAAATTATAGCTTGAAGATAAAAAATATTATATTTATATAGGTTTTAATAAAAAGCCTTAAAAGGTTATCATACAAATTAAAAAAATGTAAACATATCTTTAGTAAAACAGGCTAACTTACATCTTTTGTAGAATTATTAGAATACTTTATCCCTGGTTCTGTTGGATGATAAGGTGATATTTTTAAAGTAATATTACAAACAGAACCATTTTCATCCAAGCGTGCATCATAAGTTTCTGACAAATATTCTGGAGCAATATCCTCAAATTTCTTAATATACTCTGTCTTAATATACAAAGGACTACGCTGTTCCCTTTGCAAAGCCATTAAAGTATTATGAATTGGCCCTTTAATAAAAAAATGTGGGTGTTTTCTAATAACTTCCTTTGGAATATATTTTTTGTATTCCTTTTCCACTGTCTCTCTAGGAATATCCTTCTCTATCATCACTCGATACATATCTGTAACACCTAAACCAAATAAAAAATCCTTGTGTTTCTCGTAAACTATATCTGAGACTTTACTCTCCAATAAATCAATTCTAACTTGGTAAAAATAATATTCATATGCTCTTGGATCATGTTTGTACAACCCATGTATATTCGCCGGCTTAAATCTAATCCTAAAGTTCAAGCTTAACTTCTCATTAAACGTATTAGAAGGGGGCAAAAAGTACTTTTTCCCTGTAACCTGTAAGGCAAACAAATGCCTTGCCAATGTTCCAATACCAAGAGCCTTGGACACTTCGATGCAAACATCTTCAGCTGTCGTTTGATTTGGGACGCAGGTCACTTTACAAATCTTTTTGTCCGTGTGTTCCAATTCTATGTTATGTGGTTCCCATACAACATTAACATTAAGCACGAAGTCACCCATTTTCTATGATAAAAAATGAACGCACTATTTCACTGTGAAAGTTTTATCTCGTGGTGATCCAACATCCCAAGAAGCCCGTGACTTTTTAAACAACCGATATGAGCCCGACGTTATTCATAAGATTTATTTAGATTACTAAAAAAATCAAAACAAAATTGTTATTAGACAAAGAGCACAGAACAAGTAGTCAATGAGACGAAGAGAGAACTATAATAATAGTTACTTTTTATTTGTGAGATTGGTAGCAATGAAAAATATGGCGGATAGTTCAGTCACAGAACATAAGAGAATTAAAAGCGCTATAGTCAAAAGTGGCAACAAGCATTGGTTGATTTTTAAATCTAGCAGGCTTGGAAAACCGAGTTGTTTTTTTGCGGGAAATTTGAATGTTTGGCTATTTGAATTTTTATTTAAAACAAGGAAATATAACCGAAAATTGTTTAAATTTTATATTTTTTTGATTTTAAAAGGATTATATACGTAATATTGTCCATTAAAAATCAAAAAATATAAAATTTCGACAATTTTCGGTTATTTTCCACTAATTAAGTGGAAAAACACACATTTTTGTTTTTTTTTAATAAATATATTTAACAAAATATACACTTAATTCAATTTTAAATTAAAGTATAACTAACAAATAATATTTAAATGAGGAGAAATTCAAAGTTAATTATTCTATAAATTAGTGAAATTTAAAAAAAGGTTTATCAAACATGTATAATAATTTATAATTATCTAGGTATAATTTATCAAAAAGTATGACATTAAATTGATAATTACTCTCTTATATATGCCTACAAGACAATTATCGCTTGATTACAGCGATAATTTTCAGAAATTTTAATTTTGTGTCACATAATAACAATTTTTGTAGGTTTTTTAAGATTTCCTAATAAAAATGCAAAGGTTTATTAAACAAATTAACTCTAAAACATATTACAAACCATCAAAATATTTGATAAATTCTTGATAAGCAATAGTTCAATACTTATTGGTCCTTATTAGAAAACAACCTTTTAAAAAACAGTTCAAGTATAATTAAAATTAGTTTAAATTTGAATATGTAATTCATAAAAATAAATAATTTTCTAATACATACTGACTTATTGTATACCCTATAGTTATTTTCAGATTTCTTAATGTGGTATTAAATTTTTTTATTGGAAAAACCAAAAGGCTAATGCCTAAAATGTTTAATGCAATAATTAGACTTATTACAAACCATGCTCTTATAATTTTTAGGAATTATGATTATAATTTGTTTTTTAAATAAGCACAATACTGTAGTTTTGTAAAATATAGAATTTTTGGCAAAAAGGAATTCCTACTTATCCAAAAATTAAATTACATTCTTTGGAATATTTAATTTTTAGTAAAATTGGTTTAATTTAAATTAATAATCAATAGAACCACTTAAATCTCAATGTTAAAAATATTGTAATTATGTATTAGGCAAAATTAAAATCTTTATGTATGATTTAACTTTTTGGTCAATATTAAGTATTAATTGTCTTTTTTCTTGTTCATAATTCATGGATTGAACCTGCGTCTTTTTCTTGATTCAATGAAGAATATTCAACTGCAATTAATATTTTCTATGTTCTTTTGCAAAGAAGTTTGATAAATTCAAGTCCTGTCTGCTTCTTCCATTAACACAAACCCAAACCTGAAATCAATATCAATTTTAAAATCAATTTAAATTGTAAAACAATTGATATTACCTAATAATGTTTAAAATTAAATAAAAATAATGCATCAATATTTATGCTACTTATTTATGCTAAAGGTAATTGTTTTACCAGCATAAAAATAATTGAATGGTTTATTGTAAAAACAAGCTAAGTAACTAACTAAATATGATTTTGTTTATTTTTTTATTTTAAAAATCTTATAAAAACTAATAACGGTGAACTTGTGCTGTTTTAACATGAAAATATCCTTTTTTAATATCATAATTAAACGCGGTAATGATGCTACAACTAACTCAAACTTGACTAAAAACACCTAATAAAATGTTAAAGCCGAAATTAACAAGTTTACTTACCTAAAACAAAGAAAATTTGGATTATAAAACTTCGTACACAACACTTCAACAAGACTGTCGGCCATTTGTAATTTCTCAAACCGACCATCAACGAACAAGTTGGAAAAGACCAATCACAACAAAGTAAGAATCACGTGGTTAATAACTGGGGTCTGTCAAAAACAACTTGGGTTTCAACGCACGCTAGATTTATTTTACTGTTGCCTGTTGTCAAATTCCCCTTATACCCCCCTGAGTTCAGTTTTAAACTTGTTATATTTTTCGTAAATAAGACACAGCAAAAACACTGGTAACTGGTCAGTAAGAGTCTATTTTGACTCAGGACCAATCCTCCAATACTCTATGCCTCCAAGAGAGGGAAAAAGTAGAAGAAGAAGATATTTTTCGTAAAAATGGTTTGTAAACCACTACCCTGCTTAAAATACCCCATAGAGACCTATACAAAATATTCTATAGGGCGCTACCGGTTTCAATATGTGCATTTGTCCAAGGTTTTTTCCGGATACAGCCCGATAGAAAATGTATAGGAAATTACCTATAGGCACACCATAAGTTTTACATTTTCCCTATTGAAACCGATAGAAAATAACTCAATGAAGGATATATAGGGATATCCCTATAGAACAACCATAAAACATTTGACAAAATTTTATTAAAACCTATGGGGTCCTATAGGGAAAAACTAATTTCTACATTTTTGTGTATTTTCCCCATTGAAACCGATAGCAAATAAATCAATGGTGGATATCCCTATAGAACAACCATAAATCTCAACTATGGGTCCTATACAAACCGATACACCCTATAGAAACACCATACATCCCGATACAAATATCTATCGGTTTGAACAGGGTCTCTATGGGGTATTTTAAGCAGGGTATTTACATGTACCTATGTATTTAGAAAATAATTAATATTTATTATATAATATTATAAATATGTGGTAAAAACATTAGTATATTGTGCGATTAGTTTGGAAGTAAAATTTCGCCCACTGGTTAAAGTTAAAAAATTAAAAGAGTGTTGAGGTCTGTGGTTGAAGTATTAATACTTAATTAATACTTGCAATAGGAGTATAAAATTTTATACTCCTATTGCATAATATTGTCTTTTTTTGTGAATAATGATAAACAATATAAATTCCCTTCCTATCAACGGGAATATAATATTATAACACCTAAATTTTTAAAAATTTTAAAGGTTATAAATCGAAATGTATTTCTTAAAAATTGACAGTTTTTCACAGTGAAAGTAAAGAAAATGTTTTATGAGCACTTTACAGTGGAGTCCGTGCCCGAATTTAAGTTTACTGCCAGCGAAATTTAAAGGTCAGTACAATGTTCATATAAACTTTTCAAATATTGGCGTTGAGAAACTATTTAATACTTTTGTATTGAGATAATAAAATATATTATTATTTTCACATTTAGTATTATTTAACAAGAAAGGCACTTTATTTAAAAGATTGTATGACATTTCTTCTTCTTTTTTATTTATTGGCCTTGGTCTGTGTAAACCATATCAGCCAGTGGTCTGGATTCTTAGGCGTTATCCGGGGTAGTATGTTGGCTGTTAACGTGCTGGTAAAAAGGAATTTGGGTATTAGGTTTTATATGTAAGGCGTAGCCATGCAAAGCGGGTAGGTCAGAGCAAATGTATGACATTTGACAACAGTTACTGTCAACTAACTTAATACTAACCTCAGCCCGTGACTAAAGCGCCATAAAGCTACAACTTGTCAATGTGTATTTAAAAGGTCACTTAGTGTCATGGAAACATGTACAATAAAGGGCGTTTTAAAGGTGGGAGTAGAAAAAACAATTTTTAGTTAAACAATTTATTACAAAAATGTCAGAAAGCCAAAAATCCATTTTTCTTGTCTCTAGAAATTTGTGCAGAAATAAAATATATATATATATATATATCCATATGGATAATTTTTAATGATAGTAATTACATTGTAGGGCTATTTTAATTGAAAATTCAAGTTTAGTTTTTATTTTGATGTAAAGCAAACAATTTTTAGTTTTTATGAAAAATTTCAAATAGGCACTGTAAAAGCAGATTCATAAAATCCGTTTTCAGAGCTTGTAAATCTAACAGAAAGTTGTACAGAATCAAAAACAGCCCTACCAAAGTAATAATTATCATAATTTTTCAAAATATCAGTGGCATCAAACGTATTTCTTTTGGAATTTTCATTTTCCTTATTGAAAATTGAATTCATTAAAGTAACATGTAGTTTTACACTTTCATATTGTTTTTTGATGAGGCCTTTTCTATAAAAGTAATGAACTATATCATTGGATAGCTGTTGGAATTTCTGTGTTTCATCTAATTGAACTTTTCCATAAAGTACATGGACTTCTGAGGGATCATCATTCATGATTTCCAGACCTTTTACTGTTATGTTATATTTTTGATTTTTTGGAAATAATTTGTAAATTATGTCGTTTTGGCAAACCTTCAATGATTGTATCATTTCTGATATTTCAGTTTCATCTAATAAGGAAAAGGTGGTTATAGTTAAATGCAATTTTTTAGGATTTTGAAATATACTTTCGTTAACACCTCTAGTTGGTGGTAAATTTAAAACCTCATTTTTAAATTTTTCAAAGTTTTGTTGTATCTCACTATTCATCACAGGTATACTTAAAAAATGCGTAGCTGGCATTTTTTCCCTCTTATTCAAAACAATCATGGATATTTGATTTCTAGCCGAAGCCACACTACGTTCATTATTGCCCATAATTTTAACATCTCCTTTTTCGTTAATTTTCGGTATTTTAATCTGACAACGCGATTTTTCTTCTAGCGATTTCAATCGTTTACCTTTAGGGCCAATTATAAACGCCTGCATAGGTCCGGGAACATAGAAAGATGTCATAAATTTGCCTGATTTAGTTTGCACTATTTCGTATGCGTCTTCAACCTCCATGCAGTCTATCATGCCTTCCTCATTGTCTTCGTATGGTGGTAAATAGTTATTTTGGGGTATTTCTTGTGTTTTTCTATCTTCGTGGATTGATAAGGCATAGTATGTTCCATTTTTGACATTTAAAGGTGTTACATTAAAAGGTAGTGATTCCTTTGAGTAGAAGTAATCTGGAAATGTTCTACTTGCCATTTTATGTTTAATATGTTCTTAGATTGTAAATATTTGTGACATTTGTGAGGTTATATATAATGTTCTAACACAAAACTAGAAGGAACCTTCTAGTTTTGTGTGTTCTAAACGTTAAAATAAATGTAAGCAATCTGGGTTGCATAGCATCAAATGAGTTTTATTTTTTTCTCTAATCTATAGAAGTTCGTCCGAAATGAGAGTGTACTTTGAATAGGTATAACCACTGTGGGTATAACCCATAGACAAAAGGTATATGGTATAACCATGGTACAAGAAAACAAGGTATGTTCTTCAGTGGAACAAATTTTGCTTCGCTTTGGGCACGATACACAAAAACCGGTATGCTGGTTATGAAACGAGAACTCCGCGCATGTGACTTCACGTGCGAACCAGATTCCAATGCACGAGTGTTTTACTACGATTTCTTTTGAGTTTTTTCCGAAATTATTGTGTTTTTTAAAGTATAAGCCACGCACGATGGTTTTTTAAGCTTTATAAAGCTTAAAAAACCTTCACTTCACTTATAAGTGAATAATTTATTTCTCATAACCACAACAGAATTTATCTGAAAGTTTTGTAAGCAAAATATTTTTTAATTACAACTATCTTTGTTTCACTATAATATAACTTCGTTTGTTAAATTAAACATTTTAAAAAATCCAAGTACTACCTATATATTTGCTTATGAAAACCTACAGGAATTCTCTCAGTGTACGTAAAAAAGTACACTTTGTAAATGAGGCTCCAAGTCACGTTTTAAATAGGGACTGTCTACAGTTCCTACCAGTAGGAATTTTAGTCGCCGAGTCTAAAGTTCCTACTGGTAGGAACTTTAGCCACCTGGTCAAGAGTTACTACCAGTAGGAACAGAGATGAGTAGGAACTTGGTCTTCTGTGGTTCCCGCTCTTTGTCTATACTGTGTGTGTATAGGAAATAAGCTACAACTATTTTAATATCCATACCATAGATTCTTAAATCTTAAAGTTATAATTTTCAACTGTTTAATATGGTAAGAATACCCCTTGTTTTTCTGTTTTAATATTTAAAATCTTGTATTTCTCCTCTATTTCAGTGTTATTAATAATTATAATTTCAAAATGGAAAATACCGAATACAAATTTTGTTCTCTGGATGAAATTACAGATTTTGTAAAAAAATATGAGAGTACAAACTATGTTCAACTGTATAAAAAAGACAGCCAAACAATTCTAAATGCTAAAAAAACTAAGCCCAAAAGATTAGATAATGTTAATTCAAATTTAATTTACTATAGAATAACTTATTCATGTTGCAAAGGTGGTAAAAGTTTTGTAACTCGAAGCAAAGGGAAAAGAAATTCCAGGTAAGTAACTACATTTATGTACTATCGATAACAAAAAAAACTCATACAGCTATATTAATATATTAATTGTGGCTGTGTGAACTTTTCTGTCAATGTCAAAGTGACATTGAGCTTTGTCACATGCATTATGACTTTATGTATTTCGGCAAAGCCATTAAAGCCATTTGGAACGAGATAAAGCAAGACAGCTGTCCTAGGACTTCATAAGACCATTCATCACTGCCATGCCTCGTCGTTTGCAGGCAATAATTGACAAAAACGGTGGAATGACGAAATATTAAAAAAAAAATCAAACTTCAAATTGACTGATTTAATTTTAAACCTTTCAAATGTGACTTATTATGTTAAAAGCCATAATTACTCCAACCAAATGGTAGAAAATGAGGAAGACTAGATTTTTAATCTGTATGAGTTTTTTTTGTTCGATCGATAGTACTTGTTATAACAAGAAAAATTCACTGTTTAGCCACAGAGTCGTAGCTTAGGTGCTTAGGCGCTTAAGCGCCCAGGGCAAGATTTAAATTTTGAGCTCCCTGAAACTTATTTGGTTAAAAAATCAATTCAATGAGTTTAAAGTGTAATTTAAGTTAGGTATATATTAAGCGTTGGATATAAAATAATTATTTTATATCCAACGCTTAAGCAATATTTTCATTCATCGTGAGTTGGCAGTGAATATTATATAATTATATATATATATATATATTATATATTATATATTATAATATACCTACATACCAAAATCTGTTTTATACTTGATTAAAGATTCTTTTAGGCTCTGCGGGTCTGCAAATGCACCCATTGAGGTGGCAGCTGCCCCCGCGTCAAGCCCCTAGCTACATCTCTGTTAAACAGAGTCTGTTTGCTCCATTTTTTTGTTAACACTTTACATTTTTAGCACCATGAAAGATGACTGTCCAATGAAAATAAGATTCTCTTTATCTTCTGATTGTCAATATTTAATTATATCTGAAATTAATGAAGAACATAATCATATTGTAACCAAAGAAAATTTTTTAAGGATGCCAAGACAAAGAAAATTAAAACAAGAGGATGTGGAAGAAGTACAAAAACTAATGAATTTGCAGTGTAACAAAAAACTTGTACAGCAGTATGTTTCACAAAAAACAGGGAAATGTGTAATATTAAAAGACTTAAGTAATATAAAAACTGCTAAAACTGCTTTAAAAGACAACGATTTAAAAGTTGTGGTTGAAAAATTACAAAGTGACAATGCAAATGTTGACGTCTTAGTTGATGAAAATAGGCAATTAATGGGCATCTTCTATCAAGATGCTAATATGCAAAAATATTTTAATTTATATCCAGAAGTACTACTGTGTGACTCCACTTATAAACTTAATAATTTACGAATGCCCCTATTTATTCTAATAGTCATTGACGGAAATGGACATTGTGAAATTGTTGCTACATTTTTAGCTGCTAATGAAACTGAATCTCTATTAACTGAAATGTTACAATCTTTTAAAAACTATAACCCAGCTTGGAACATGACAAAAACAATCTTAACAGACAAAGATTTGACAGAGCGTAAAGTTTTTACGAAAGAGTTTCCAGATGCAAAATTGCTCTTGTGTCTATTTCATACCTTAAAAACATTTAGGACTAACATTACAGTTGAAAAAATGAATATAAATGCAGCACAAAGAGATACGAGTCTAAAAATTTTACAAAATCTTGCATATTCAAGAACTGTATATGAATATGAATCAAACTATAAAAAGTTATTGGATTTAAATTTACCAAAAGTAAACGAATATTTTCAAAAAAATTGGCATCCAATTAGGGATGAGTGGGTGGAAGGATTTAAAAAATCATGTGTTACTTTTAATACAAGCACAACGAATCATCTTGAAAACATCAATCAAAAAATTAAATCTGTTTGTATTAGATTTTCAAAATTATCGGACTTCTACACAAATCTACTAGTTACCATTGCTGTTCAAAGATCTGAAAAAGATCAAATTATACATAACATGTTTTTAAAAAGAAATATTCATAAATTCCCACAAGGAAGCGACCACGATAAATTTTCTAAGTGTTTAACCCCATATGCTTTTAAATTTATAGAGAAGAGGCTATCCAAATCTGTATCAGACACAAATAACAATAATATTGAAGTATGTGAAAATAAATGCACATGTTTATTTCACATTGATATGAAACTTCCATGTGAACATATTTTTGAATACAGGAGAAAAAATAATATGCCTTTGTTTGAAGAAACCATTATACACATGAGGTTTAAAAAAACATTCTATATACAAAAACACTTTCTTGAAAATCAAAATGAATTCACTAGTACGATTCAGGAACAAGCATTAGTACGTAAAGTTGAAACAAAAATACGGATAAAAACTCAAACTGAGAAGTATAAAGAAGCAATCAGAATTTTTTCAAAACTTGCATCACTTTTATCGGAGAAAGGCACAAGGCAATTTTTAGAGTTGATGGAAAAAGTGTCAAAAATAATTAACTTAATTGAAAGTGACAAAGAGTGGGATGTGGTTGAACATGAAAATCCTGTCGAGGACTATATACAAGAAGAAAATGAGGAATTTGAAACAGAAAAACAACCTAGTGGTTACACAATAGAAAATGAGAAGCTAGAAAGGGATAAAATGAAAGACGAGGAATTTGAATATCAATCTAATAATGACCCAAAAGAAAATGAGAAAAATTACAAACTTAAAATAGATAATCAAATTAAGAGTCACATAATGGGAAATCAAGAAAATGAGCAAATTGAAATGAAACATCAAGTTAATAATGACAGACACGAAGGAAATAAAAAGGAATATCAACCTAATAATGAATTAATGGAACATGAACAAAATGATTGTGTTAACGAAGGACCAATAAATGACGAAGAATGCTTAGATGTACGCGATAATAACGTTGAAATAATCTATGTAGATCAAGAAGGAGACTATCAAAATGACAAAGCATTCATAGATGTACTCGATAATAACGTTAATATAATTTATGTAGATCAAGAAGAAGACCATCACAATCTTTTGGAAGAAGAAAATATATATCTAGAGCAAATAATGCTTAATACGCCAATGAAACAGAATAAAGGGCGCCCCAAAGGTAGAGAATTAACTGTAGTTGGAGTTAAAAGGAAAAGGCATAAGTAGTATTAAATAATTGTAAGTACAGTATATGCACTGTGTAGCAGAAAAAATAGAGTGGTAACTTTATATTACGCCTGTATAACATACACATGTGAAGCTGCAGCTAGAATATATTTTAACTTGTGTTCTAGGCGTATTATAAAGTTGTTACTAACTAGTATTATGTTGCCAATAGTATTATGTTAACAAAATTTTCAAAATCAAAGCATATACCTACTGTCCTACTTTTTTGCTAATATTTCAATTATATTATTTATTGTTAAACCTGATACATATTTATATTATTATTAAGTTATATTCAAGTTTTAATATATATATATATATATATATATATATTTATAAATATATTTAGAAAACTAGAGATATATTTCTAGATTTCCTACCTAAATCGCAAGATACTTTAATATTTTATTTATAAATAGTTAAAAAGGATATATTTTTTATGTTTTACCATTAATTTTAAGTTACATTTTATTTTTGTTTTTACTAAATAAATGTTTTTTGTTAAATATATATTTTGAATTTAAGCCTTTTAGCAAAGATACCAAAACTATAGTTATTATAGAAATACTCTTTCTTATAAGATTAGTAAAACTTCTTTATACAA